TGTCCTAGCTAGCACACACCTGATTAGGGCGATGGCCGAAATTCCGCTCATACACATCGTTGGCGAGCTCGTTTATCTCGAACACCTCCACGACCATGGCATCGATCTTAGCCTCCTCGAGTGAGAATCGCTGCAAGAACGAATGCGAGAGTGTGTGGATCCACGAATCTGCGCGATAATCTCTTTACCAGGCCGCCAATGCCGCTGTAGAACTCCAAGACGCGCAGTGGCGCCATAAACCCTAAAAGAAAGAAAGAAAATAAAAAGATTGTAACGGAAAGCAAAATTGGGCCAGACACAAATCTTTGAATTTTGGCGCGCCCATAAAAACAAAATAGAAAAGCTGAGAATATCCTCGGAGATACGTTAGTTGACGTGTCACCCGGTGATTCGCTCAAACCAACGGCGGGGATGGAAGCTCCCCGGAGGAGAAGAAAACCCTATTATCGGAGAGCTTGACTTCGTCGTCCCTCCGCGATGGCGTAGCGATTCTTGTAAGTAATCTCAATCCGGGAGCACAGGAGTTCTCCCCGCGGCCCATCGGCATTGCGAGGATTTTCTCCGGAAGCTCTCGGTTTTATGAGGATTTCCAGCTCCCGGGGATGGAGCAGCCACTTCTCGGCAGCCAGCGCCGACCATTCTCCTTGCACCGGCTAGTGGTGGAAGATGAAGCAGCGGCTCCGGGGGAAGTGGCAATCCCGATCACACCTCTGGCATTCAAGGAGAAGCTGGTCTATGGATCGCTGGAGAGCCCCGCAGGGTTCTATCTCCCCAGGCTTTTCAACGCTTGCGAGGGCCAAGACGAGACAGAGGATTTCTTGAGCCAGGGAGGGTCTCGGCGAGCATATAATCTATACCCAACCGCGGAGGAAAAACAATGGATGCTTTACTCGGGCAAGAGCAGGGATGACGAACAGGACGAGGAGACGCCGATGGAGAGAAGGGGCTCTTCTTTTTTCGGTGGCGGTGACGAAACCACTGGACTGCTTGCTACTCTCTCGGGATTATCCAGCGAGTGCTCCGAGACTTTGGAGAAGCTGCCTGACGCCAAGGAATGCGATCATCCGGGGTTTCCTGTGAAGAGGAAGTACTTGAAGAAATCGCGGACAGCGCCAGCGCTCAACGTAAACTACACCAAGCGGGACAAGTCGAAGAAGCTCACGAGGCCAAAGCTGGAGAGCGCCACGACCGTGGTGGTGCAAGCTAGCATCGGGCTCATGATCTATCTCGCTATCGGGGTCGCGATCTACGTGTGGAGGACGGACGACTTCTCAGGATCTTCGACGTATCCAGTCATCGACGCGCTCTACTTTTGCATCGTGACGATGTGTACCATCGGCTACGGCGACATCACCCCGACCTCTCCATCGGCGAAGCTCTTCGCGTGCTTCTTCGTGCTTGTTGGTTTCGGCTTCATCGACATACTCCTGAGTGGAATGGTGGCCTACGTTCTCGAGCGGCAAGAACACCTCCTTCTCAGTGCTGTGGAGGGGAGTCACCACGAGACGGCCAAGAACTATGTGGTGAACACGGAGAAGGGGAGGATGAGAATCCGGATGAAAGTCGGCCTGGCGCTCGGGGTCGTGTTCTTCTGCCTCGCGATCGGGACTCTCTTCATGCACTGGATGGAAGAGCTCGGGTGGCTCGACTCGTTCTATCTCTCCACCATGTCCGTGACGACGGTTGGCTACGGGGATCACACGTTCAAGACTTTCAAAGGCAGGCTTTTTGCTGCGGGGTGGTTGCTCGTGAGCACTCTGGCGGTTGCTCGATCGTTTCTGTTTCTAGCCGAGGCGAGGATCGATAAGAGGAACCGATTGATCGCAAAGTGGGTGCTGCACAGGGAGATGACGGTGGCGGATCTAGTTGCTGCGGACATGGACAACAACGGATTCGTCACGTAAGCTTTCAAAGTCTTTTTTTTTTTCTCCAGTGATCTTGACTCAAGTATATATGTTTTCTCTTTGCTGCGTACAGGAAGTCCGAGTATGTGATATACAAGCTCAAGGAGATGGGGAAGATCAGTGAGAAGGAGATCATGGACGTGTGTAGGCAGTTCAACGTCCTAGACAAGGATTGCTCCGGAAGAATCACGATCTCCTGTCTGGTCAACGAAGAGAACACTGTACAATGAGAGACTAGTGCTAGAAGTGAAAGTGTATATAAGAGAAGCCCATCAAGAGTAAAGGAAAGTCACTCTTGTGTAATTGCCGAGATCATCGCTCTCGATGAAGATCACGGCGAAGATCCTGTCTCCTTGAAAGCGGCGTAGGATCCTCCACTGGTCGGCGCTGGGAGGCCTGGTTTGCACGCTCGGCTCTCTATCGCTCACGAGATCCTTGTCTTTCCGGGGTCCATGCCACTCTAGCCAGTGCGAGTCGGAGGCGCTGGTGCTCGGCCTCTACGATTGGAAACTCGTCACCATGCTTGTCATTGACGGCGTCCGAGGGAGAGAACAGTGATGAGAACTCCATATCCATAGCTCGACCAAGGCCAGCGGATGATCAAGAATCTCCTGAAAGGCTTTTTTGCGTATGTGAGAACGTACACGTCTCGTTCTAGTACCATTCGAGTTTCCAGAAGGTTGTCGCTATCTTGAGCGTTGTAAATTTCTTCTCTCACTAAAATTCAAAGGGAATAAGAAGACCCTGGTTGGTGCCTAACTTTGTGACAAACTTCCTGCTAAGTTGATAGCGGCCAAATCTCGCCGCGCTCATATTCTTTGAAATTGTGCCATCTTGTCGAAAGACGAATCCACCACCGAATACTTGCATCTAGAGAAGAATATGTTTTTTGAAGGACCGCTTGCTTTCTTTCCGGGTTGGATACGGGGAAGCTCCAAGGAAGCTGGCTGTAGAAAAAGAGAGCTGCTAGCCAGAAATTTTTTGTAGAAACGAGAGTTTGCCACGTGGCAATCCCATGCATCACATATCCCAATACTAAAGGAAAAGTGTAGTCTGTAATCCTTTATAGGGTTTGAGCAGTTCATTTCAGAGTGGAAGGATTGGTGTGAGGGAGCAGGGAGCAAAATTCTGCGTGCTGGAGCTTTTCAATCTTTCATCACGGCTTTGAATCTCAAGTTTCGGAACTCTGTAGGGAGTGTGGATGTTGCCAGGAGTTTCTGCATAGCACGCGTTCTGAGTTCTCCTTCTTTCCACGGTGGTCGCGGGGCCGCTCCTGCTGCAGGAGGGCACCCATCAGATCTTCTGAATTTGGCTGGGGGCGGTTCCGGAGCTCTGTTTTCTCTTGATTGCCTCTAGGCAATCATTTTGCTCTTGCAATCTTGCAAGGCAAACTTGAGGACACAGTCAATGGAGTCAAAGATGTTGACAATCAGGAGGATTCCAACAATTGTATCCAACTATCAGGAGAGTCTTGAATCCAAGATTGGATGTGGCAAGAATTGTTTGGGATCTTGTTGCATTCCTGGTGAGAAATTTTATTTCTTTATATATATGGTTTTCTCATACTTGTTTATTTTGTTGTAGGAGCTAGACTGCCTCTTTATCTATTTGGAAATCAGGAATTGGATGAACATGGAGAAATTCAATCAAAAGAGTTGGGGCAAAATTCCTTTCTTGATTCAGCAATTCTTGGTCAAGTATGCTTTTTTAAAGATTATTTTTATTTAAGTGAATTTAATGTTTTTGTGGTGCTATAATATAGTGGGCAGATAAGCAAGCAGAAGGACTTTTTCGTTATGATGTCACTGCTTGTGCTACAAAGGTAATTATTATTTATTTTATAAAGTTGATGATATTAATATTATTATAATTTTAAAGGTTTTACCAGGAAAATATGGCTTTATAGCTCAATTAAATGAGGGCCGACATTTGAAGAAACGTCCAACTGAATTTCGTGTGGATCAAGTCTTACAACCTTTTGATCATAAGAAATTCAATTTTACAAAGGTTGGTCAGGAGGAAATGTTATTTTGCTTTGAGCAAAGTAACAATGATAAAAGTCATTATCATTCAAAAGCATATATTAGAGGTAGTCCAAATGTGGTGGTGATTAATGTAAGTATTTCTTTTTTCTTTCTCTTTATATTCTTGAATTTTTAAATTTTTGTTTATAGGTGAGTCCAATTGAATATGGGCATATATTATTAGTCCCTCGAGTGTTGGATTGCATACCACAACATTTAGAGACTGATACATTTCTTTTGGCAATTTATATGGCAGCAGAAGCAAGCAGTCCATTCTTTCGCTTGGGCTATAATAGTTTGGGTGCATTTGCAACAATAAATCATCTCCATTTTCAGGTAATATTATTATATTTTATAATTTTATATTTATCTATTTTATTTTATAGGCTTATTATTTGGGAAATTGTTTTCCTGTGGAGAAAGCTCCAACCAAATTAATACTTCACCACTATAAAGGTTTTAAAGTATATCAACTAGAAAACTATCCAGTTAAGGGTATTGTTTATGAGGTTGGAGAAAGCAACTTTGAAGAATTAGCATTTTATATTATCAAGGTTTGCAAGGGGCTTCAAGGACGAAACATTCCTTATAATATTCTTATTGCTAATAAAGGATGTCAAATCTTTTTATTTCCACAGGTAAGATTTAGATATTATAGTTTTATCATATCATATTAATTATTATTTTTGTTCAGTGTTATGCTGAGAAACAAGCTCGTGGTGAGGTTGATCTTGAGATTTTAGAAACTCAAGTGAATCCTGCAGTGTGGGAAATAAGTGGTCACATTGTTTTGAAGCGGAAAGAAGATTTTGAGAGGGCCACCGAGGAGTATGCTTGGAGATTACTGGCAGAAGTTTCAGTATCAGAAAAAGTATTTGACGAGATTATCAAACTTGTCTTCTCCTCAGCAGAAGACAAATTTGATGCTAAACTCTATCACAAGAGTTTAATCTCTACAGATATCACTTATTACACCGTGGGAGAGAACGTCATTATGGTGTAGGAGCTTTTATTTCAAAAATGAATAAGCATAATAAAGCTAGTAGTTTAGGAAAAATAACAATTGTGTAAATAAATAGGCAATTATAATACTACTGTTAGCTTAGGAAAAAACAATGTGCTCATAATCTCACTGGAACTAAAACATCAAAATCACTCACTGTCCATTCAGCAAGTTCTTCACTCGAACTAATATATATTTCTGTCCCGATGTCTATCGAAGGCCAGACTCTTCTTGCTGGGAACGATCCTGGGTCCTGTGAAGGCAAAACAACGTCCAGAAAAAAGAAAAACTAAAAAAAAAAAAAAGACAAAAGAGACTTGCCTGGTAGAAATAGAGCCTACTCGAGAGAGCTCCTGCCTCTAAAGTCCAAGTCCTTGCGTCACCAATCCATCCCTCTCCTTTCCGGCTCGGGTAGCCATTCACCGCCCACTCGGGATGAGGCAAAATCTGGACAAGCTCCTGTGGCTGCGGATTGCTGTAAGGATCGCACACGGAGAACGGATGCTCTGGAAACTCTGCATTTGTCGGCGAGCAGTAGAGATGATAAGCCGAGTATGGGAAGTTGACGGTGTCATTGCGGTAGACTATGGTGCCGGTCGAAGTTACGTGGTATGGCGGACAGAGATCTAGCCTCGATGGAGTGCACCAGTTCGTCGTCTCTGGATTGATGATCATCTCGCTGTAGCGTGTCACGTCGGTTTTCACGTCACCGTCGCATGGCTGGCCATTGTTCTTCCAGCAGCCACCGATGTCTAGAAGATAGAACTGGCTCTGGGGGCCGCCGCCTTTGGTGACGTTGAGAGTGACGACTACTTTGAAGTTTGGTGATTCGGGAACCTGGAAGGCAAAGCGATTAGCGTAGATAAAATAGTTTGAACTTTACCTGTGTCATTATGCCTCGCGTGTCCCATGGATAGCCTCCAGAAAGTCCAGAAGTTGCGTCGGCTCGGAGATAAAGCATCAGCCACGGATAGTTCTTGGATACTTGGAGCCTGTGCTTGAAAATCCAGCTTCCAGACGATACGTTCTTCTCCCACGCCACCGAGAAGAACGACATGCCCGCTGTCACATTCTCGGGGCTCCTGTTCAAGTCGTAGGTGCCGTAAAATCTGCCTTTGAGATCATCCACACAGCCATGGGAACTGCAGTTCCGCTGGATTGTGGACTGTTCGTGGACAACAACCGGTTGGTTCATGCAGCCATCACCGAAGCAAGGGAATGCGTTGACAATCTTCTTGAAAGGTCTCGTCAGCCGAGTGTGAACTTGAAGAGAACTTGCTTTCGAAGTCGCCGGACATAGCCCCGAGCTCATGTCGAAGTTGCCATTTTTGAGCATCGAGTTCCAGAAGTACCAGGGATGATGGTTGCTGAAATCGGAGACTTGGCAGAGCGAAGCCAGGAACTTCTCCTTCTCAACAGCGTACAGGTCTGGATTCTGGTAGCTCTTGAATGCCCGGTTTGGAAATATATCTCCTGTCCGTAGCTGGTTGTCATTGTTTGACACGAAACTGTAAGGAGAACAGACACTATCTGCACATGAAAAAAGAAAAAATTTAGGCGAAACAACTAAAAAAGAAAAGGGTCAGTTGAGAAAACTTACCGGGCTTGCAGACTTTATCAGTGCAATCAGCCCATCGAGGACTGGGCTGTCCTGAACCAATGCTCTCAGCACCATTGCAGAAGTTCCAGCCTTCGAGCAACACTCTGGAGTTTGGGCTTCTCATCCCTGGATCTCCCAAAGCGCTTTCATATCCACCAGTTACTGCCGTTGCTGCTTGAAAAAAAATAGCAGCACCGAGCGCTGCTGCAAATGTAGTCATTGTGGGACGGTAGATGGTTACCTGGAAGGCATCAAATTTCTGCAAAAACCGTGAATGAGTGTTGATGAGAGAGCATAGAAAATGCATGACCGTAAGGACGAGAAAGAAGCATGCGTCTGATATGATCCGAGAGTTAGCTTAAATCATACCTTCCAATGAAACCATGTTGGGAAAAAAGTATCTAATACGCCATAGCTAGAGCTGCTTGGTTCGTCACTATTGAACTAAACGGACAGCAACAGAGGCGCAGTTCCTTTTGAATGAAATCGTGGCGGTTTGAGCCCTGGCCATTACTCCGAGAACGGCCAATAATTACTGAAAGAGACTCCTCTTTGACCAAACCCTGAGAAAGAATACTAGAAATGCAGTTGCAAATAAATTGCTTGTGGTACCAGTACCTAAAATCCCCTGGTTGCCAGGCTCAACCTTCTCAAAATAAATGTTAAGTCCTTAAGTTTTGTCAAGTCTGCAAAAGACAAAATACAGAACGGAAACAATAAGTCGAGCCACTTCTGCCATTCCCGTACCTTGTGACATCGAGCAGTCTCCTGTTACTTGAAAAGTAGAAAATTGTTCTTGTCCGTTTTGTTTTCGCTAATCTTCGGAACGAACTTGGGAATCTGTAGCAAGAGTGCTCAGGAGCTAAAACAGATGAACGAGAAACCTTCGAGTACAACCTTCAAGTTTAAGGAAATCTTGGAGCCTGAACCTCAAGTCTGGTACTAGAAAAATAGGACACAAAACGAAAGAAGTTATCAGCCACGAAATAAAATAGCAATCTGTTATAAACCGGACAAACCTGGAAGCATTACATAGAAGTCTCATCAGGCCTAGTGGCCTTCACCATCAAATTAAGCCCATCTCTCACACTTCGTGTTTGCAGGAGAAAGGGACGCATGACGATTGCCTTCGGATATTCTTCCCACAAGCAAAACAGAGTGAAGATCTCGTGACGAGCAACGCAAAAAGATCCAGTACCTTCTGAGTCGATCTAGGTGGTATGAATAGCGAAATAACACCAATCTGTAAAATCACGAAAAGACGCTGGAGCAAAATGGAAGCTGGTTGACAGAAGTTTCCCTACTAAACAAGGAATGAAGCAGCTCGCAAGAAAAATTGGCTTTTAGTGCCATTGATTATAACGAAAATCGTTTTACCCATCAAAAGTGGCAGAATACCTATAGAGAAGAAGTGCTCCTGGTCGCCAGGCCCAAGCTTCTCAAAATGAACGTATAAGAAAGTGCTAGATCCTTGAGTTTGTCAAATCTGCAATGGATGGAGTAAGCGGATGTTGCTAAGCTTTTCTTATAATTCTCGTACCTTCCAGACATCGAGGAGTGTCCAGCTCCAAAATCACACTTGAACAGCAGTAGATTCTTGTCCGTCTTGTTTTCTCTCAGCTTGGCGACGAACTTTGCAGGCTCCCAGTAGGCAACTCGCGAGTCTGTCGCGAGAGTGTTTACAAAATTGAAGCAACGGAAATCAAGCCACTCACCATGAAGTCCTCCGGTTACAAGAATATCTGGATACTCACGAGGCAAGACCTGTAAGTGAACCCGTTCAGCAGTGGAAAACAAATGTAAAGCTTCATAATCACATTGTCAACTGGGGAGTAGGATTTCATGTACAAATAGTCATCCTTTTTACGTGGATCTCCCCATTCCTGGACAGAAAATGATTAGAAAATATAACGCGAAGATCAAATATTCACCTCCCACTCAGCAGTAGTCAAAGGAATCGACGAGTCCAGCATTGTTGTTAGAACATCTACGAAAGGCACCTCCGCGACTGCGCATCTGTACAGATCTGGTCTCATGGTGAGAGCCGCGCCGATGAGAAGACCACCCGCACTTCTCCCCTGAATGCAAAGCTTGTCTTTGGCACAAAACTTGTTTGCAATGAGGTACTCGCCGCAGCAAATGAAGTCCTCGAATGTGTTCATCTTTTTAGTCAGCTTTCCGTCTTCGTACCATTTCCTTCCCAATTCGCCCCCGCCTCGAATGTGAGCGATTGCAAAGGTTACGCCACGGTCTATTAGTGACAACCTATGCATTCTGAAATCAGGGTCAATGCAGACCTGTACGAGGACAAAAGAAAAAGTAACAGGGTGTCGGAGGAAAGAGTGAAAAAAGGAATACCTCATAGGAACCATATCCATAAAGCAAAAGTGGATCAGAGCCGTCTAGTTTTGCAAGGTCCTTTCGATAAACCATAGAAATCGGCACCTGCGTGCCATCTTGTGCAGTTGCCCATTTGCGTAGTGTTACATATTTCTCAGGCTGGAAGCCGCCAAGAACCTGAAAAACACACAAAGTTTTAGTAAACGTCAACCAGAATACAATAGCTGGATTACCTCCTGCCTCTTTTTCAGCATCGACTTTCCAGTTTCCATGTCATAGTCATAAACAGAAAAAGGTGTTGACAAGGAGGAATATTGGTACCGTAGAATCGGCGAGTTGAACTGAAATTCCTTTGGCGACAACGCATACGCAGCCTCTGGAAACTTTATCCGTACACCTTGATCCAGGCTAGTGATCGGCTCTCCTGCCGGAGGTAGTTTGAAAACTGTGATGGACTGCAAGGCATTTTCCCGTTCATAGACTACCAGATGATCCCTTGCAGCCTGAACCTCCTCAAGTTTAACACTGCAAGACAATAGTATGAGTCACGAAGATCCGTCAAAGGTCGAACAAACCTCGGCCGGTGAGGGAGTACCAGCGTTGTGGACGAAACGTCATTGACAGGACACACATAAAGCTCGGAGTTGTAAGTATCATCTGTCCTCTTGGTGATAAAGAAGTGCTCTCCTCTATGACTTGCACTCGTATCAACACCTTCAACGCGTGGCGTCAAGTACTTCAACTCCTTCACCGGACTCTTGTTCTCCAGATAGAGAACAAAAGACGTCGTCTTAGTCCCGGAGTGCACAAACGTATACTCTTTGCTTTCCGACGAACCCATGTCCAGAAAGCACGTCTCATCTTCTTCGTGGTAGAGACAAACGTCCTCCGATTGTTCATTTCCAATCTTGTGATACCAAGCCTAGCAAAAGCACGAGTCTCCAATGAGAAAGACACAGAAGAAAAGCATTTGACAGACCTTGTAAGGGCGATGAATATCATCCTGAGTCACGTAAGCTATCGACTCGTTGTCAATCCATTTGATATCTTCGACAGCACCCTTAAGAACAGGTCCCAGCAGCTGTTTGCTCGCAATGTCCACGACGTAGATGCTAAAAATCTCATCCCCCTTAGTGTCTTCGGTGTAAGCCAATCTCGTGTGGTCTGGACTCACCTGAAGAAACCACGCATATACAAACCAAATAAAAGCTAGAAAAGAAAACTTACTTGGACATCCCCCACAGTGTAGAACTTGTGAGAGGCAGCTTTCTCGTTCTCGTCTAGAAGAACTTCCTCCTCTTGAGCCTCGTCCATGATCTCGTCAATCGAGCCCGGGCCTTCACCTCCAGGAATTTTCCTCCGGCAGTGGACTTTGTACTGCTTGCCTTCCAATTCCTTCTCATAGTAGAAGTAAGGCCCATCTCTCACAGGAACACTCGTATCATCCTCTTTGATTCTCCCTTTCATCTCCGCGAAGATTTCTTCCTCGAACTTCTTCGTGTCTGCGCAAAGAAGAAGATAAGCGCGAGCAATGCAATGTATGAGGCTTGCCTGCCATGACTTGCTCCGTGTACGCATTCTCGGCCTTGAGATGATCCAGTACCTTTTGATCCGCGCGCTTGTCATCCCTAAGCCAGAAGTAGAAATCCTCCCGAGAATCGCCGAAGAGCTCGAATTCCTGCTTGAGCCGAGGCGCTACCGGTGGAATCATCGCTGCGACACGGCCGGTCGATCCGTCAGCTGCTAAGGCGGCAACTAGCTCCAATCCTCCGCGGCAGCACAGACCAAGGCCGAGATGGAATGCGATCACCTGGCGCCGGCTGGGCGACGCGATGGCCCGCGCGATAGGGTTTCTCCGCGAGACGCTCGAGGCAGAGAATCCAAATGCTATACAAGAAGCCATTTTGGCGTCTTTATTATCGTTTTCTTCTATCACGCAAAGACAATCGTCTTTGTTTTGTCTCGACCGTATCGCAAGATGCGCTGCTCGCAGTAGTACTTGATCGCTCGATCCAGGCACTGTCTCTCGAGGCTCTCGGATTTCATGGCGAAGCTTTCCAGTGTGTCACGGTGTGAGACGCGCTCCACCTGCGTTGTTTGATCATCGATTCACTGTCAGGAAACTCGCAAACTCTGGCAGGCAAATCTAGCAACTTGGTGCTTACCATCTGCTCGATTATGGGTCCAGCGTCCAGTTCCTCGCACACAAAGTGCGTTGTGGCACCGATCAGCTTCACTCCAGCTTCGTAAGCCTGCGAGAACAAAGCGTAAACGAGTGGAAGAATGAAGGAGACTTTTGGTACCTGTCTGTATGGATTGGCGCCCTTGAAAGATGGTAGCAATCCGTGATGGATGTTGATGATGTCCTTCCCATAGCGAGCTATGAAATCACCAGAGAGAATCTGCCTGACAGAAAAGAAAAACCTGATCTCTTCGCTTGAGAGAGTTTGGAAATACCTGCATGTATCGAGCCAAAACCAGGAAATCTGTCCCGGAAACAAGCTCCAATATATCGTCCTCCCTTTTGTTCGCCTTCGTTGTTGGAAGATAGTGATATGGAATGCCGTGACGCTTTAAGAAGCGCCATATGTGAGTATCTTCCCCTCGAGCATGGTTACTGTCGAAAAAACCACGTAAAACACGATAGCGAATCGATTCTCACGCTTGCGAGCTTACCTTATCACGCATTCTATTTGCACTGGAAGCATTCCATCCTGCCAGCGATGGAGCAGATTTACCAAGCAGTGATCCTGGAACGCATTGAGTTTTAGAACGTGTTCTTCTATTATAGCACGAAAAAAACGATTGATTTACCTGCAAAGATGCGAAGACGGCGACTTTCATATCCCTGTCCATCCCAGGAACACTGACGACTGATTTCCCTACGAATTGCTTCCCAATCTCTTGGAACGAGCTCTCCATTTCCTCCCGCGTCCACTGCACGGGATTAAAAGAAAACTGACTGGGTGATGGCGGCCACTAGAAAATTTTCCTCCTGCCTATTTCACGAAAGGACAAAAAGAGATTGTTGCTTCTTACCATCGTGAATTGAAAACCGGCTCATCGCGGGAGTCCATGTCCACGAAAATGTCCGTGCTTGTGATATTCGCGCCGTGACCAGAGATGCAATCCGATATCCTTGCAACAATTCCCACTTGATCCTGGAACAATCGCGTTGAAGATCCTGGAAATACTCGCGATAATCACATACCGGGCACTGCAAGACATGGATTCCATGATGCGTGAGCTTCGAAGTCGACGAATAGAGCCGGCGCTGGTGCCTGGAGCCCAATGCGAGCAGAGATTTCGCCATACTCGACTATGCCGGGAGCATTCTCCCTCTTGGCGCGTGATAAACCCTAGCCGGAGCTCCGCACAACGAGCATTCCATGACGCTCGCGTGACAAGCTTTTTAAGGCAAAAACCTCTCTTTACCGTCGGATGCCAATTAGCACACGTGGAACGATCGCATGCGTTGGATTGCACCATACAAATGGATAAACCAATTCAATCTCATTAGCATAATTTAAACGTCCACCATAGCCAAGCTTGCCAAGCCTTACAACACTACTCCAGCAGTGTGTTCTTCACGATCGCGGCATTCTCCTCGAATCATAGAAATCTCTTCCACTGTGCTCCCGCGAGAATTCCCTGTCCCTGGAGAAATCCTGGCCATCATAGGAAGATCTTCCACCACCAAAGTGGTGCTGCTCCCTCTCTCTTTCTCTCGCAGCGTCCCGGCGCTCGTATAGATCTCTATCCCTGCTCCTCGTCTTCTCGGGATAATCTCTATCCCGCGAGAACTCTCGATCCCTGTCCCGGGAGCTCTCTCGCTCCAGCGGCATCCGGCTGCTTCGCTCCCTGTCCATCCTTTCCAATTGATCTCTATCCCTTTTCAAGCTCCCCTCCCGGCCATTCGAAGCGCTTCCTCCCGGGTGGTAGTAGCCACCATGCCCATTCAATCCTTTGCTAGCTCCTGGCAAATCACCTCTTTCCTGCGATGGCGTGCTCTTCTCGGTGCCATGATCGTTGCTGGGTCTCTCTAGCGATGGCGCTCTCTCTTCCTCGATCGTTTGCGTGCTAAGTTTGCTGTAAGTCGAGTCCACAGCCTCGGCAATCTCCTTGCCCAAGTTCTCTTTCGAGAGGATTAGCTCCCATGCTGCCTTGGAAGCTCTGTCAAGAACAGGACCCCTGGAGATGAAAGGTTTTAATTCTCTTCTTCTTCTTCCTATCGGCAAAGATGGAAACGATTCACTTACTCGAGCTCGCGGCGCAGCGCATCAAAGAGCTCCCGCCGCGTTTTGTTGTCCGCCCCGGGGCTGTTGAGACACTGGCTCTTCTCCACCAGCGATTGCGTGTATCGCTTGAGATCTTCCTGGAGAATTTCGGTAGCTGAGCACGAAATTTCACGAGAATTTTGCTCTTACATTGCTCTTGAGCTGGGCCGTGACCTTGCCGCGCAGAGCGTCGAATGTGCCGTCGTTCATGAGCGATTCCAGCACCTCCTGGGGCTTGACAACGCGCGCGGCGACGAGAGCGGCACTGGCAGCGGCGGCCGTGGCGGCCGCCTCGTCTCCATGGCCGCCGCTCGTCGCGCCTTCCATTCGCGCATAAACCCTAACAGACCCTAAAGGGCAAAAAATATCCAAGAACCCCTAAAACCCCAGCTTGGAAAGATATTGTCAAGCAAAATTCTTCCATCGCATCACTCCTCCTAAAGGGCAAAAAATATCCAAGAACCCCTAAAACCCTGCCCATGCAGATTTGCCTTTGGAAACAATCAAACACTTGGAACAAAAAAGATTAGCTTGGAAAAATTTTGTCAAGCAAAATTCTTACACCATCTTCCATTCTCACTGAGAGCCTTCTTCCTCTTCCGGAATTCCACGAAGATAGAGTACATTGTTACACCTGGTAGAAGCAAAACGATCAAACCTCCGAGAGGAGAAAAAAACTTGGAAAAACCTTATCAGCACTTCGCCCAGATTTCCTGCGAACTGCCCATCGATGAACTCTTCCGTATTGCCCAGCTGCGAAGAAAGAAACACGAATTTCAATCCTACCAAAGATAGACCAAAGCTAGAGCAAACCTGCAAATTCATGTAAGAATCGACCGAGATCAAGAACCCTGCCACGCGAAAGACCAGATTTTTTTGTGTTAGAAGACAATGAGAAGAAACAGCATTGCGAGTTTACCTTTGTACTCCATGCCCCACTTGAGCTTAACCATGACGGCCTTCCCCGTGAGCTCATTGAGAAACGGCTTGGGATTCACAGGCACGGTCTGCAAGAAATCGAGAAAAAGAGACAGAGAATCAGCCGAGAAAACGCGCAGCACCATCGATCGCTTACCGCCATCGCTCACCGAGCTCCTAGGGTTCGCGCCAAACCCAAAACCCTAAAACGTCAATGAATGTGTTTTGCTCTCTCTGAGAGTCGAACTCAGGACCTCCCGCTTACTAAACGGGTGCTCTGACCAACTGAGCTAAAAGAGCTTGTTATGCTAATCGATTTTCTTAAGATAATCTTCTTCCACGTGTCCGCTTCCAGTTCAGCCCTATAAAGTTGCCCTAACTATTTTCATTTGCCCGCAGGGGGGAAATTCGAATCGCGGCGCGATGCTTTAGATTGGCTGTGCGGCTATGGCGACGACGAGGCAAGTCCTCCAGATTCTCGAGTCGTATCAGAAGGCGCGTATCACATTCTCCCAGACGGTAGCTGAGTTGTCCAACAATGCACAGGTTTGGCGCTCGGATCCATCAAACCCTGATTTGGGGCACCCAGATCACGCGTTTCGCCTTGTGGCTTCTAGAATGTGGAGATTCTTCACACGGCTGGGGTCCTGGAGTTGCTGCGCCCCTTGTTGATCGATTCCATTCCCACAATCCAGCAAACCTCGGCGCTGGGATTGGGAAGGCTCGCCAATTGGAGCGAAGACATGGCGGAGGAGGTTGTGTCGCATCATCTCCTGGTCCAGCTTGTCTTCTCCCTGAAGTAAGTTTTCTTTTCAGTTTTTTTGCTGATTTTTCTAAGTTTTTCAAGCGTGATCTTTTCTTCTTATCCTTCTAAAAACTAAGATTTTTTTTTTCTTGCGCCAGCTTGTCTTGTCCTTGAAGTAAGTTTTTTCCTCGGTTTCTTCTCAGTCTTCCACTTCTCTTGCTGAGTTTTCTAGCTGCTAGTCTTTCTAGTGTGAGCTTCTTTTCTTCTTACCAAGAACTAAGAAGTGTTTTTCTTTTCTGCTCTTGCCAGGAACCAAAATAGATATAGCAAGAAGGCATCGGCATCTGTGTTACGCTCCGTGGCTAAACACAATGCCGAGCTTGCACAGGCAGTCGTTGAATCCGGTGCCTTGGAGGACTTGGTCTCATGCCTCGAGGAGTTTGATCCTTCGGTGAAGGAAGTTGGAGCTACAGCAGTGGGTAATGTTGCCAAACACAACGTGAAGCTTGCGCGGGCTGTTGTGGATGCCGGTGCCGTCCCGCTCCTTGTTCTTTGTGTCCAGGTGCGATATTCATCTATTTCGCTTCCACATATGCCGTAAAGTTTTCTTCTTCTTCTTTTGTATGCTGTCAGGAGCCGGAACTTATATTAAAACGTGCAGCCTTGGCTGCTCTTGCAGACATCGCAAAGCATGCACCGGAGCTTGCACAGCTCGTGGTTGATGCTGGCACTGTTCCTTTCATTGCTCCTCTCGTTGTACATATTGACGCCAAGATCAAGAGGCAGGTAATTTGCTTCTAAGGCTTTTCTTCATCGCAGCTAATGTCGGGTAAGAACTCTTCTCTTCAGTTTTTAGTCTAAGCGCGTCTCGTCGCTTTGTTTTATCTCTCAGGTTTGCTTGTGCCTGGGCCAAATCGCTAGACACACGGTCGATCTTGCTGAGGTACGATCTTTATCACAGACCAGTTGAGATCTCAACAGCAACCCTGCGGTTTCTTACAGGTTTTACTTGCAGCGGAGCTGTTCCCCAAGCTGTTTTTGTGTCTAAAAGATATAGATCACCAAGTAAGACGGCAAGCGGCCATTGTCGTGAGAGAAGTTGCCAAGCACACACCGCAAATGGCACAGTTCATCGTCTCCACTGGTGGTGTTGCAGCACTAGTGGATAACTGTGCCGAATGTTTAGGCAATGATCGCTTACCAGGTACAAGCTTTGTTCTCGCAATCTTGAAGGCTTGTTGTCCGTATACAATAAAGTTTTCTTCGTTTATGCGCAGCTATCATGGCTTTGGGATATATTGCGGCTTTTGACGAGTCTTTGTCTACAACCATCATCCAGTCCAACGGTGTAAAGCCACTGGTAGACGCTCTCACCAACGAGCAGGAAGATCACATCCAAAGTGCCAGTGCGTGGTCACTCGGACAAGTCGGAAGGCACAGTCCGGTTCACTCGCTCGCCGTTGCTGAAGCCGGAGTTCTTCCCCAGCTGGTCACCCGACTTTTGGCCGAGACAAGCAGCGAAGATCTTCGTAGCAAGTGCAAGAGAGCTCTTAAGGCGATCATAGAGCACCTGACTCACATCCCGGCTTTAGATTCTCTTCTCCAGGTAACGCTGTTTGAAAAACTATTTCCTCTCAGCTTACTGTTCTTGAGCTCTCTCTCCAGGGGCCACCGTTGCCAATCGAGACATTGAAGTACGTGATAGCGCAGCTCGCAAAGGTTCTTCCAAACGATCCCGAGGGAAGAACGAAGTTTGTCACGTCGGGTGGCCTCGAGAAGCTGCTCCAGATGAATTTCGGGCCGGATCCAGAGATGAAGAGCCTGGTGGACGGCGTGAATGCGAGCTATCCCAAAGAAGTTGTCCAGTACTACGATCCGGGCTACGAGGAGATCCTTCTACAAAAGCTCACAGGGGCCAAACCAGGGAAATAAAGAAACCATTTATCTTCGCTTCATCTCATCTGTCAATAGACAAAAGAACGAACTTTGCAAACATCCCTTGAGCTACAAGAATTTGCAAAGAGAAACTTACTAGTGTTCGATCGATTCTCAAGCAACAACTTTGAGGGTCACTCCGGTTGAGCCAAATCCTCCAGCTCCCCTGACGGTGAGATCCAGGTCCTCGACTTCCAGGACGGGAGGAGTGACAATCTTCTCCAGTATGAGCTGAGCAATCCGATCCCCGGCTTTGATCGAAAACTCCGTGTCAGAGTGATTGAAAAGGATGACACCGAGTGGTCCGCGATAGTCGGCGTCTATAACACCAGCGCCCACGTCGATCGAGTGCTTCCATGCCAGTCCAGAGCGTGGAGCTGCGAAAGAAAAAAAGCTTTAGCCTTGATCTCTCTTTTCATGAAGAGGAGAGGATTTGCTCACCAATGCGGCCATAAGTTCCTTCCGGAATTGCCACCGAGAGATCGGTTTGAATAAGCGCCTTGCCTCTGGCAGGAACAACGCTATCATACGCACTGCCGCCCCCAAAATCGAAGCTTTAGAACGCGAGAATGAACGCGAGAGCTGCCCAAACCTGGAGAGATCGTAGCCGGCGGCGAGCGCCGAGCCTCTGGACGGCAAAATGGCGCACGCCGAGAGCTTCTTGACAAGAAGAGACATCCCGCCGCCCACACCAAGCCCTAGGAGGAGCTCGAATTCGCGCCAAAATCTAAAATCTAGGGCTCCTCCGGATACTTTTATTGAAGCACAAGTCTGAGGTGGCAGCCGCGTGTACCCTAATTAACCCAACCCAAACCCTAATTAAACAACCCAAACCCCCAAATTTAAACCAAGAAGCATTGATAGAGTAAAATCAATTAAAGGGTTTTGTTTGTCTCACCGAATTTTTTGCCTTTAATTGAGGAAGGGGCTGTTCTTCCATTGGGTAACCTGAGAGAGGACACGAGCAAAAGTTTGTGGTGGCTGCCCATGGTTGTCTCGCCAAAAGCCCAGACTTGGACTCTGTATGACGATGCTACTATCCTTCTGAAGGTGGAGGTTTTAGACAAGGTTTTTGGCAAGAGTTTTGGCTGGAAGTTCCATGGAATGCAAATATGAGTGTTGGTAAATATTTCTGGATTCTTCTATACAAACATTTTCTGCAAATATACCTCAGTATTTGATCATGTGGATATCAAGGAGAGCACTCCATGCCAGATGGAATGCACTATCATCACTACACTAATCTCTTCTCATCTAGGCTCATGCATACACCTCCCCACCTTATCCAAATATAAGTGCCTTCAACCTCATCCATGATATTAATGTTCTTGAAATGTATAATTTTGCAATTCTAATTAAAACCACAGATAAGATGTTTAATAAAACTTTTTCCAACAAAAATACAGATGATAACAGATAGTTGATCAAATAAACAACAAATATAAACTTTGGTGGTTAATATATATTTTATATACATATACTAGCATAAGTTGCCTTGTTGGCAAAGATCATAAAGTGGCCTTGTTTAGTGGGAATGGAATTGAAGGAGCAAGGAGCATTATTTTGATTCTCTCATAAATGTGCATGTTACATGTGTTAAATTTTTTTCTTCTCTCACAACACCTAATATATACTCAAAGTTGTGCTAAATAACTATTGGTTGAAACAAAACCTTATGTGTGTGTGTGTTACTATTTCTGTCATTACTTACAATTTATATTAATTATTAAAAGATTTTTTTACTATCAAATGTTTAATGTGGTAAATCCATTAGAAGTTTTTTTAAAAATTATTTGATATTCAGAAATTAATAGTAAAAAGAAATAAATAAAAAATATCAATGTATGTAAAGTATGGAATAACTAAAAAAATTTTAAAAATATATTATTGTACTAGCACTTGCCCAGCATAAGCTGCCTAGTTAACAAAACTTTTTTTTTATCCTCACATTATCAATAAAAGATTGATGTCTCTAGAGCAACATTAAAATCCATGCAACTGTTCTAGCATCATTTGTGATGTTCACTATCTGTGGATAGCAAATATTAAGCCTGATCCAAAACAATTCACAATATCCTCATAGCCTAAATCCTCACCATTCCCAACACCTTGCCATTCACCATTGCCCATACCAAGCAGCTTGCCCAATATCTTTCTAGATCAAAGCTGTAAGATGATTATGAACAATTGCTCTAGCTGTGTTGCATATTTTCTTCCACAATGAATGCTTCACACCTAACAGACTCTTACAATCGATTGTATGTTATAAATCAGACCTCTAATCACGCGATGGTGAGCAAAGCATTGGCAGTGCTCTTGTACTGATGAACGAAACGATTTCGACCATTGTCGGCTGGAGTTCAATGTGAAGAAATGCTGCTTGCAAAGGAGAGAAAAGAACCACAGCCTGGTCATGTTTTTCCATATCAATCGCGCCAGGGACTGATTGTACACTCCTCTGGGCTCTGTCGACAGCCTCTTTCTCCGCCTCCTCTCGGATCCGGTTCCTCTCTCTCCTGGGTGCCTTGAAGTGTCTCGGACTTCTTCGAGCGAAGCAAACAGACTTCGGCACTCCTGCGTCTTCATGGTATCCTTGGGCGACTCAAGCGTTGAAGAAACTGGTATCAAACACGACGGTGGCAACCCCGGCAACAGCTCCAGTCGCCTCCTCCCCATACACAAAGAAGCCCTAAAATCCCCTCTAGATTCCAAATAACTGCACAAAATCTCAAGGCACTTGGTGGTCGATTGTTACAAGTTTGTAAGCATGCAACGTTGGCGGCACACGAAGCATCTGCAATGCATCAATGCATCGAGCGAGCTCCAATCTAGAGGAAAAAAAAAAAAAGAATGAAAACAGCAAGAAAAGACACCAAGAGTTGAAGCGTTCTATTGCAAAAACCAAATTAAAAAAAGAATGAAAACAGCAAGAAAAGACACCAAGAGTTGAAGCGTTCTAGAAGAAGAAAAGAAAGTAAAATGGAAGACATTAGAAGAAAGCATGGACAAATCGATTAGATCTTGACACAAACAATACTAGGACATGGCTTGTTCCAACAGCGTTAACACAACACCTCAGATTTGGATCATGCAGCGGCAGGGGCTGTTTCGCCATTTCATAAACCCTAGAAAAAAATTACAAAACAAAACCAATTCACTTAACAGGTGATAAGCACAGTCATAGTTAACACATTGTATATGACACTTATCACACAATTACCCTCCATTGGACAATTGCAATTGGCTGGATCCGATGACTCAGAAAGTTTAGGCTAGCATTTGCCAAGCAAAATACTATTTTGATTTTTTAATATATCAAAAATTAAATTGGAATAGTATCAAAACAACAAATATTGTATTCCACTTTGATTGAGAGAATAATGTCTAGAAAATGCTAGAAGAATATAAAAATCAATTCTTGTAAACTTGATAATATAAATATTTAGAACAAATATATTCCTAGGCATAAGTAAGAATAAATATTAATTCATAAAAAGATTATATACAAATTATTATTCAGAAATATGAATATATTTAGAAAATAACTGAAAAAGAAAAAAAGTAAAAATGAATTTCATATTATTAAAAATATGTTATATATTTAAATTATATTTTTACTTGGGATAAATTATTATGATTTTATCAAATAAAAGAGAATAATTACTACAAGACATTAATTGATGATAGGTTTTACTCAGAAAATAAAACAATAAGTGTTTAGGAACATTAATATATAACTACCCATATCCAATCAAAAAAATAAATATTTGTATATATATATTTTATAGAAACTATAAATTTAAATTTTATATTCCATAGTATTATGTTGCACCTTTTGCTTAATTACTTCATAGTTGTCAAATTTTTATAGATGTGTAATGCTTTTGTTACTTAGGCTGGATATTATTTTTTGAGTAAAACGTTCATGAGAAAGTTACATTCTAATAAACTATATTTGCAATTAGTAAAAAGATTTTAAAATATTATTGTTCAATTAAATACTTCATACATTATCATAGTTTTTTTTTTGATAATGAGCTATATTGTAAATAGCTAAGGCTACATATAAAAATATAATATATACTTTTATTATTAAAGTTGTTTAATATTTTTGTATTAACACTTAAAGATTTAATCATGATTCTACACATTTCTAAAATTAAGTCAATCCACATTTGATATACCATCACTTAATGTTGAGTACAGAATATAGTTTTTTTATTATATTTATATCAGGAATCCCCCAATTCTTGCCACATTCCTGACTCTCGCCGGATTCCTGACCTGTAGACCACATTCCTGACTCTCGAGACACTTCCCTATTCCTGACTCTCGAGACACTTCCCGATTCCTGAGTCTCGAGACACTTCCCGATTCCTGAGTCTTGAGCCACATTCCTGATGATGATGTGGCGCCTCCTCGACCTCAGCTGTATTTAGGCCGTCCTCGATCCAAGAGTGGTGGAGCTTCATCAACCTATAGTATATATAGGTTAGCCTTGTTCCATTTCTCCACAATCTGAATCAACACCAGTCTAAGGCTTCTTCTTTGTTTTCACTAGCATTTTCTCTTTGTCTTTAGCATTTTCCAGTCTTGATCTTGTTGAGGGTCTTGACAATTTGATTCAGATTGTGTTTTTTGCTTTTCTTTTAGCTCGTTTTGATTATTTAATTGCCTTTGTCTTTTTCCCCCTTTTCTTTTCTTTCTTCTTGCCAATGGAGTCTCCAAGCCATCTTGATTTCTTTGCCGAAGTCCTTGCAAAAATCCAGTCTGAGAATACCGAGCTGAAGGCGACCCTTCTTCGCATGCAGCAGGAGCTTGCTTCACTTTCGGCTCAAGGATCCAGCAAAGTTCCTGAACCGAAGGTGAGTTTCCCGGCGAAATTTTCAGGCAAGCGTTCGGAGCTTCGTGGATTTTTGAACCAAATGGAGCTGATCTTTGCACTTCAACATCGGCGATACCCCACTCCCGAGTCTCAAATCGGCGCGATTGGGACGTTGCTCAAGGGTGCAGCTTTGTCATGGTTTTCTCCTCTTCTGGAGAAGAGCATGAAAGGGGTTGTGGTTCTGGAGCTGATGGATCTTCAATTGTTCAAAGAGAAGCTCGAGGCATGTTTTGGCGAGACGGATCGGGTTCGGGCTGCTACCACAAAGATGAGACGTCTCTCTTAGGGGTCTCGTCCTGCCTCGATCTACGCTGCAGAGTTCCAACTCCTTGCCTTGGACACTCAGTGGCATGAGCAGGCCCTGATTGACCAATTTCGTTTCGGCCTCAACAACGGTGTCAAGGATTTGTTGCTCACCATGGAGGATCCCAAGGACCTGTCGGACGCCATCAACAAAGCTGTTCGATGTGACAATCGTCTCTTTGAACGTCGTCAGGAAAGTCGCCGCGCCGCTGTTTTTCCGTCCCAGACTCAGGAATCCCAGCTTGAGTCTTCGGGGCATAGTCCTGAACCTACTGCTCCGGTCCCGATGGATATTTCTGGTACTCCCCAACTCATTAGAGGGAAGTTGAGTCCTGCTGAGAGGCAACGTCGAATATCTCATAATCTTTGCCTCTACTGTGCTGATCCTAATCACAAAGCAGCTGTGTGTCCCAGGAAGCCTCCCCGATTGCTCGAGTTCACTCTGCCTCAAAGTCCACTTCTGTTGCAGTTGGGAAACGACCCTGTCCAAACAGAGTAGGAGCTGTCTGTTTGGACTCCCCAAATAAAAATCACTTTTCTTCCTTATCAAGCTCCTCACCACCTTTCATCAAAGCCACCACCAATTCCCGCAACTTCCGCGTCCCATATCTCCTTTCTTTCACCGGACAATCAGGACTCAAGGCTTTGGCGCTACTGGACTCGGGTGCAACTTCCTGCTTCATGGACACGGACTTTGCTGCCCGATATCACGTTCCTCTTTCTCCTACCATACGGGATCTGAGGGTTGAAGGCATCGGCGGGCATTTTGTGTCTCCATCTTCTGGAACTCCTTCATGAAGAACCTCTTTTTCTTTTTGCTTTGCATGTTTCTCCTGTCAGTCTTCCTGAGAAGTATCATGATTTTGGGGATGTGTTTGACAAGAAAAAAGCTAGTGTACTTCCTGTTCATCGGCCTTATGATTGTCCCATTGATTTACAGGAAGGAGCGTCACCTCTGTGGGGGCCTATCTACGGGTTATCCCCGTCCGAGCTTAAGGCCCTCAAAGAGTACGTGGATGAGAACCTTGCCTCGGGCTACATTCAGCATTCGCAGTCCCCGGTTGGAGCGCCTGTCTTCTTTGTCAAGAAGAAGGATGGGAGCTTGCGGCTAGTCATCGACTACCGAGGTTTGAACAAGGTGACTGTTCGGAACCGTTATCCGCTGACCCTGATCTCGGACCTGTTGGAACGCCTCAGCGGTGCCCGTTTCTTCACCAAGATCGACCTCCGTGGAGCATACAACCTGATCCGGATCCGGCCTGGTGATGAATGGAAGATTGCGTTCCGAACCCGCTATGGCCACTTCGAGTACACTGTCATGCCATTTGGCTTGACAAATGCTCCAGCGGTTTTCCAACACATGGCAAACGATGTTTTTCGGGAGTTTCTTGATCAGATGGTGATCGTCTACCTCGATGACATCCTCATCTACTCAAAAACTCAGGAGGAGCATGACGAACATGTTCGCAAGGTGCTAGCGAAGCTGCGAGAACACGGCCTATACGCAAAGCTTGAGAAATGTTCCTTTGATCAGCAGTCTGTGGAGTTCCTTGGGTACATTGTCACTCCTAAGGGTATCACGATGGATCCTGCTAAAGTCAAGACTATTCTCGAATGGGAGCCTCCACAATCAATGTCGGACGTTCAGGTTTTCCTTGGCTTCGCCAACTTCTACCGCAAATTCATTGATCACTACTCTGACATTGTCCTTCCTCTCACACATCTCACTCGCAAGGATGTTCCCTTCTCTTGGTCTGCTGCTGCCCAGCAGGCCTTCGACACACTCAAGGCGGCCTTCAGTTCTGCTCCTGTCTTGATCCATGCTGATTCCTCACAACCTTTCTTCATCGAGGCTGACGCCTCCGACTTTGCCATTGGTGCTGTGCTGTCTCAACTTGGAGCGGATCACGAACTTCATCTGGTCGCTTTCCATTCTCGGAAATTCCAGCCTGCGGAGATCAATTACGAAATCCACGACAAGGAGCTCCTTGCTATCGTGGATTCCTTTGGAGAGTGGCGCCGTTTTTTGGAGGGGGCGAGCCATCAAACAACAGTCTGGACGGATCACAAAAATCTCGAGTACTTTGCCACTTCCCAAGTTTTAAGCCGTCGTCAAGCAAGGTGGGCACAATTCCTGAGTCGGTTTGACTTTGTTATCAAGTACAGACCTGGAAAGTTTCAAGGCCTTCCTGATGCTCTTTCAAGGCGCTCCTATCTCAGTCTCAGGCCTGGTAATCCTGCCTTCGATCAACAGGATCAAGTTATCCTCGGTCCTGATCGGCTTCAAGTTATGGCAATTTCCCTGGCCCCTCAGGACTCCTCCTTGATGGATGCAATCAGAAACAATCTTCAATCCGATGATCTCGCTAGCGACATTTTCCCCCATCTTCAAGCTAGACACCCAGTGACTCCCGACTGCCGGCGATTTGACGAGTTCGAGTTCTTAGATGGCTTATTGTACCGTGGGGAGCAGCTTTACGTTCCTGAAGGTGATGCTCGAAGGTTGGTCCTGATGGCGTGCCACGATAGCCCGACTGCTGGTCACTTTGGCATTGCGAAAACCTATGAGCTAGTTGCACGGGACTTTTGGTGGCCTCACATGGACAACTACATCAAAGCTTTTGTTACCTCCTGTGACACTTGTGCCTAGAATAAGGTACCTCACAACCTTCCTTCAGGTTTGCTTTGTTCCCTTCCGGTCCCTTCAGGTCCTTGGGAATCCATCTCCATGAATTTCTTGAGTGATCTTCCGAGTTCTGGAGGCTTCAACAGCATTTTAGTCGTGGTGGATCGCTTCACAAAGATGGCGCACTTCTTGCCATGTTCCAAGGAGTTTTCGGGCGAGGACATGGCAAAACTGGTATTCAGGGAAATTTTCCGACTTCATGGGATTCCTACAGATGTGGTTTCGGATCGGGGGCCTCAGTTCATCTCTCATTTCTAGCAACGGTTTTTGGAGCTGCTTGGAGTGAAGGCCAACCTCTCTTCGGCATATCATCCTCAAACTGATGGGCAGTCCGAGCGAACGATTCAGACGTTGGAACAATTCTTGAGGTGCTTCATCAACTATCATCAGGATAACTGGTTCGATATCCTTCCCCTTGCTGAGTTTTCCTATAACAACTCTGTTCACTCCTCTCTTCGAGTTTCCCCCTTCTTTGCGAACTCTGGCCGAAATCCCCGATTCAATCTCTCACTTCCTTCTCCATCTGAATCCTCTCGTTCAAATCCCCGCTCTGAGGCATTTATCTCCAACCTCCAGGAAATCCACAACTCTATCTCCTTCCACCTCCATCGTGCTCAGGAATCTCATAAAACATTTGCCAATGTCCATCGTCAGGATTGTCCCCCTTACAATATCGGGGATAAAGTCTGGCTCCTCAGGCGAAATATCTCCACCACCAGGCCCTGTCCAAAACTCGATTTCAAACGCCTTGGTCCTTTCCCTATCACTGCCATCATTAATCCTGTCACTTATCACCTTGCACTTCCCTCCTCATATCAAATTCACCCTGTTTTTCACTCCTCTCTCCTTGAGCCTTATATTCCCAGTCCTATTCCAAATCGAGTCATTCCTCCGCCTCCACCAGTGCAGCTCGAGGATGGGTCTGAGTACGAGGTTCAGGACATCCTTGATTCCAAGATTTCACAGTCTAAACTCTACTATCTAGTGGACTGGAAGGGTTACGGACCTGAGGAACGCACTTGGGAACCTGCGGACAACCTAATTCATTCTCCTGACCTTGTTCAGGACTTCCACCGCCGCTATCCTTCTCATCCCAGTCCTCATTTTTTTTCTCCCTCTCCCATCCCTCGCCGCTCATCTCATCCTCCTCTTCGTTCTCATTCACATCCTCGTTCCACTCGTTCTTGAGGAGGGGGTGCTATCAGGAATCCCTCAATTCTTGCCACATTCCTGACTCTCGCCGGATTCCTGACCTGCAGACCACATTCCTGACTCTCGAGACACTTCCCTATTCCTGACTCTCGAGACACTTCCCGATTCCTAAGTCTCGAGACACTTCCCGATTCCTAAGTCTCGAGCCACATTCCTGATGATGATGTGGCGCCTCCTCGACCTCAGCTGTATTTAGGCCGTCCTCGATCCAAGAGTGGTGGAGCTTCATCAACCTATAGTATATATAGGTTAGCCTTGTTCCATTTCTCCACAATCTGAATCAACACCAGTCTAAGGCCTGTTCTTTGTTTTCACTAGCATTTTCTCTTTGTCTTTAGCATTTTCCAGTCTTGATCTTGTTGAGGGTCTTGACAATTTATAAATACTATTAAAACTAAATTATAAAAGTTAATTTTGACCTAAACTATTCAAAAAGTATAATACTTTATAGAAAAGAATATTTTTAGGTAAAGTTGATTATTTTATTCATAAAGCATTAAAAAAAGTTATTCACATAAAAAATATTCAGTCTCTTGGCATTAAATAGAATTTAAAATCTCTCCCAATTTTGGATTTTGATTTGATGATGCCATCAAAGACATCCATAATCTATTAGCTCAACACAATAAGTTTTGGGATTGCAAATCACTTCGTTTCGTTTACTGGAAAGTGAAGCACAAAAAATTATATTGCAAATATTCATAAGGCTAGCTAACACAACAATAGCATCATATATATTAATATATCACAAGAAACATTTTAAAGGATATGGTAGGCTTTAAGATTTTCATTTTATAAAGATTTACAAATATTTATATACCTCAACTTTTGAGATAATTAAACTTTTATAATTGTTACTACTATTAATTTTGTATAATTGCAAATTTGCACAAGCATCCCCAATAAAAACTAATACTATCATTTATAACATTTGAACATTTTAGTAATATCACTCTAAATAACACTAAAAAACATGAATAGTTTAATAATTAATATTTAAAATTGTGAATATAAACAAAATCTAACTTATTTAGGATACAAATAGTTAATTAAGAAATTTTCAATCACAATTTTTGCTTTTGTTGAATTAGGTTTTAATCCTACTGTTCTTTAAATTATTAAACAATTCTACGGAGAATAAAAGGTTAAGGTAAAAGAGGGATGAAACAAATAATCAAAAAGCATTTGAATCTCTAGAAATCCACCTTAAAAATCATTTAAGAAGCCTGCTTGTTGCTAAAGATTACAACTGCTATCGGAGAACTTGAACACTTGAACACTGGTGAAGCTACTGTCCATCTGCACTAGGCAGCATAAGCAACAGCACTAGCTTGCTTCACAAAGCATTTATGTCGTGGAGAACAATTGCGAGGAGCAACTCATACATTGTCAATCTCTCCTTTTCGATATATATTCTATGTAGTGGTACACTTTTTGCTGCTAGCAACGCTGTGTCTTTTAAGAGTTAAAATTCAATCGCTGTAAGTAGAGTCAGTGTTTTGTGTGGAGCCCGAGAGAAGGAAAAAAAAAAGGATGGAAGAGAAGCTTATCTCGTCAGCGGCCATTCTCCTTCGCATCGCCCTCCGCGCCATTGTCCTTGTGCTGCGAGTGTTGAAGATCGTCCACCTTCTTCCTCTTTGCATGAGGTTCTTCTCCACTGTCTACCGCTGCTGCTGCCAATGATCCTCCTGCTAGCTTCTCCTCGTCGACTAGAATTACATCCGCTGTTGTTGGCTTGTGCTCCTCGTCCTCTGCACTGTCGTCCGTGAGGTCGATCGCGGGGTCTGGCTCCGGGTCTGGATCCGCGTCTAGTTTGATCGGCGAGAGGGGGAGGCCATCGTCGCCACGCAAGAGCTTGTTCATCTTCTGCTGCTCCTCGAGTATCCTTTGCAGGTATTTCCCCTGTGCCTCGATCCGAAGCTGCAAGTGTCTTTGCACCTGTCGAGAAGTAAAAGAACATGTTTTGAGAAAGATCCACAAAGACGTCAACCGTTTGATTACCTCGAGCTGTTCATGCAGTCGCTTTTGAACTTCCATTTGCATTCGCAATGCCTCGCTAAGTTGCCTGCCACTGGACGGGGAAAAACAAATATATAGTACTAGACAAGCAAAGAATGGAAAAAACTTTAGGAGAGTACCGTGAATCTGCCTCGAGGTCCCTCCCTTTCTCGAGTTCGCCTGTGACACAGAAGAAAGAAAAAGAACGTAAAGACAAAGCTCTGGCGACAGGACTCGTAGTAGCTTACCATCGCCCAAAGTGTCAGGAAGATACTTGGCGAGCCGAAACTTCTATAGAAACAATCACGTCTCCATCAGAACTGGCAACAACAAATTTAAGATCCTTGCCTGTAAATGACTTTTGATGTGGTAAATTGTGAGTCCTTGAACGCCCATCAGCCCAAGAACACCTTTGGGAGTAGCCTCTGCAAGAAAAAAAACAAACCAACAATAGAACATTAGCTCTTAGAAGCGAAAGAATCAAAGAAAGAAATGGACTGTGGTCCTAGTACTCACTGTCAGAGCCACCAAGCTGGTTCACGGCTTCCATGAAGCGGTCATGGAGCTCGGGAGTCCATCGGAGCCTCTGCTTAACGGACGCGACGTTGCCGCTGGATGCCGCTGGAGTGCTTGCTACATTGTTTGCTAGTGCCGCTGCTGGCGTTGATGGCACCGCCGCCGCTGGAGGAGGTGTGGAGAAGCAAACCAAATCCCCCGCTGCCGCTGGGCTGCTGGGGACCTGTGGAGCTACCGGCGCTGCCGCCACAACGCTCGACGGCGAGTTCTTGGGTTGCAGCATCATCGACGCGCACGAAATATGGACGATTACCACTCCTACTGCTGATCTAGGACCGCCGGATCACCTAGGCAAGAAGCAATGCTCGAGCAGAACCTGGAAATTTCATTCCTCCCCGCGATTCTTGAGTCAACAGCGAGCTCTCGCGGCGCCGAAGACGATCCAGCCCTCCAACACCCCACGCGCTAGCTCGAGCCCCCTGTCGCGACGAGAAACCCTGGCGTCGAGTCGAGAAAGCGCACGCCATAGCCAAGCGCTTTCAGCAGAATGGAGGAAGGGAAGAAAGAACTCCAGCAAACAAGGGCCCAGGCCTGGGCTACCGAGCCTCAGGCTCGAGCTACGGTATAGCCCCGGCGGGCGTTTAAATTCAGGTCTGCGAAGCCGAGCCTGTTGACGCGGGGAATATTGTAGGCGCACCCAGGGATATGCGAATCGTCGATCACGTCTATGGGAATATTCGTTGCTCCAAAAAAAACCCCTTGTGTTTATTATGGGTTCTCCTGTTTAGGGCTCTTGGGAGCTACAGGGATGGAGATTTGCCGGGCTGTGGACGCGAGCTGCGATCGGAGGCTCCAGGCCAAGTACAAGCACGCGATGTTTGTGATCGATCGAACGCTGGCGCTCTACAGGTGCTTCGGCTGATTTTGGAGAGATTGAGGGGTTTTGAGCTGGGATTTTGGTTTTTCCAGGCCGGATGAGGTCGCATTTAGCTTCAATGGGGGAAAAGACTCGACGGTATGGTGGGACTGTGTGGAATTCGTTTGTGTTTTCTAGCGTTAGATTCTTGAGATAGAGATACAAATACCAAAAGAGCTGATAAGAGGTCAATCTTATATCTTTCTCTGTCTGGTTTAGGTTCTTCTTCATCTTTTAAGAGCTGGCTGTGCAGCTTTGAAGTCTAAATTGTCACTGCCGGCAGATGCTGAAGATCGGATTCGAACGATTTATTTCGAAGGTCCCGATGCTTTCCCAGAGATTGATTCCTTCACATACGAGACAGCACAAGAGTACGCGATTTTCCTTTTTTTTTTTCTCTTGCTTCTAACTTTGTGTTTAACTTTGCATTTGTGTTTCCAGATATAACTTAGAGCTTGAAGTTTTAAGGCAAGACTTCAAGTCAGGTTTGGAAGCTCTATTAAAAAACAAGCCTATTAAGGCTATATTCTTAGGCACGAGAATTGGCGATCCGAATGCAGTATGTTTCGTGGTATCTCGACTGATTGATGCAAAACGTTTCGTTTGTTTATTTTGTGTAGGTGGGGCAAGAGCAGTTCTCACCAAGTTCTACTGGCTGGCCGCCGTTCATGCGCGTGAATCCAATCCTAGATTGGTCTTACAGGTACGATTTTTAGACTCACACGAAATGCCACCACTATTTGTACTTTTCAGAGACGTATGGGCATTTTTACTGGCTTGCAAAGTTCCTTACTGTAAATTATATGATCAAGGGTGAGGGCACTTCCATCGAACGAATCTTCATCTGACTCTGGTTAATATAGTTCGTGGTTATACCAGGTACACATCTATTGGAAGCGTACATGATACCGTTCCGAATGAAGCATTGTATATCGATTCTTCGGTGGAAAAAGATTGCCCTGAGTTAGGATTGTCGAGAAAGAAGGCTTACAAGCCAGCTTACTTATTGCGCGATGGAAGGCTTGAAAGGGCGGGACGGTTGAGAAAGCAACCGAGAAAGGACTATCAGGGCCCGGGTGTTGCAAATGGTGTTGAAAATACGGATACTCAGGCCAACGTTGATACTTTATATGCTGCATCTGTCTTGTCAGTCGGTGATGAGCTCTTGTAAGTTTTTCCTCCTGGAGCTTTGTGCTGGTTTAACTTCAGTATTACAGGAGAGGAGATATGGACGACCAGATGGGTACATTCTTAAGCAAAGAGCTTTTCTCTCTAGGCTGGACTGTTACGCGTCGTGCAGTCGTTCCAAATGATGTAAGTGGTTCCCGTGTTTTAGCATGTAGAGGTGAGCTAAGCTATTTTTCGAGGCAGATTGACGCAGTTGCCGAGGAAATCGAACAGAGATCAAGTGCGAGCGATATTGTAAGCTCCAATATTTTATTTGTGTACAGGAGTAACATTGAAGCTGACAGGTCTTAGTTTGTGGGGGTGTTGGACCTTTGCATTGTGATGTAACCCTGGGCGGCGTGGCAAAAGCTTTTGGAGTTCGATTGGTAAGTTTAGAATGTATACGTGAACTTGATCTTATTTTTAGAAATCAGGCTCCCGATGAAGAGTTTGAAGAGTATCTTCGTCAACTTGTTGGAGACAACTGTGCAGGGGATCAGAATGCGGTAGTGTGGTTTTCTTTTTATTTTTCTGGGTCCCAAAGAATTTTTAAAAGCAGATGGCGAGATTGCCAGAAGGAATCACTGAGCTTTTGCATCACAAACGGCTCTCTATCCCAGTGGTAAATTCTCTCGATTACGTGCTTTTTTTTCTCCTTACCATGTACTTCTCAGATAAAATGTCGAAACGTGTTTGTACTGTCGGGTCCAACGATTAGGGACTTCAAGCTACAATACCAGTGCCTTTTGGAGCTGAGCAAAAGCCGCGACTTTCTCGCTACCCAGCACCCCTTTTGCTTGATACGGCTCGAAACACAATTGTCTAAAGTACGTATTTCACAAGCTTTTGTTTCGATCTCCTATGCCCTTTGTTTACAGGTAGAAATAGCGAAGCCTTTCTCCCAATTGGCTGCAGAGTACCCGGATTTGACACTTGGTATGATGGCTGTCTTATTAAACATGTCGATTCATATAATTTACAGGTTGCTACCACCAGCAAGATGACAAAGGCGCTCCTGTCATTAACATCATGGGAAAGGCAAGATTGTGCTCGCAAATTTCTTAGTCCGTACTGAGGTAACTCTGTCTTCCAGAATCCTGTACGCGTCAAAGCGGCAGCCTGTGCATTGCGTGCTCTAGCGCCAAAGCAAGCATTCCCAGCGTGAAGAAAAGCACCACTGACGACGCATGGAATAAGCTTGTACGGGCAGTAGAAAAACAAAGGTAACTCCCAGTTTTTCTTTGTCTGCTTACACTAGTGAGCTCTTGTTTATTAGAGACGCGGCCACAAAGCTCTAGCAAAGTGTTCATTACAATCGAAGAAAATAATTAAGGCCGGGGAAAAGAGTGCCTGCTACATTAGCAAGTCATGAAGGATGTCACGGAGCTAATTAAGTTTTACCATGCTCTATGGTTTGCTCAATTGTTTAAATCTCTATGGTATAGATTCTATGCACGAGTTCGAATATAACTATTAAAGCAGCGTGTAGGAATGAGCTTCTTCCACGACAGTGGTCTCCACACCACCAATCGAGCCTTGTGGCTCAACTGTGTCTATTTAGCAACAAGAAAGAGCGCCATTTGAATGACCTAAAGGACAGCATATATCTCTAGGAATATCGTTAAATATCCTCTCTTTCGTACGTTTATGGCATCCGACCGTACTCGCAATGGAATTTCTTTGTTCCCCGCTTTGTGAATGAATTGATAGGGTGAGCTTTTAGCTATGGCGGTGAGGCGCGATAGATAGGCAAAGAGGGCGGGCGCGGCGCTCGGTCGGTTCTCACGGATTTTATCCCGGAATGAAGCTCTGGCGGTGTTGACGCCGCTATTTTGCCTCGCCGGAGATGGCATTCGTGCTGACGACGAGTAGCGCGGTCTCGCAGGGCACATTCTTGTCTCTCAGGGTTTTGTGCTCGAGAAGCGTCCTTCCCAGAGGTATGTGTGAGGCAATTTGGTTTCGCAGCGATGGATGATAGATATTTCGAATGCCGCTCCAGGTCGAAGGCGATGGAGGCGCTATTGCTCTCGCATCGAGCACAGCGAGGCAGAGGACGGGATGTTCTCGAAATTTGGCGATTTTCATCCAGCCAGCAGCGCGAACAACAGCGCGAGTAGCATCGGGAAGCTCCAGGTATTCTCCAAAGCTCCCAAGGATCATAGCTCCCGAAAGGTTTCTAGAGAAGAGAATCCCCTGGCGTCTTTTGGCTTGAAGGTTAAGAGGGACAGCCAAGGAAGGAAGATCGACATAGCCAAGTCGCTCTCCAAAATGCTGCCATACATTGTGGTGGCCACTGCTGCCGCGGCGCTCATCCACCCAGCTACATTTGCGTGGTACGTAAGAGAATTTCTCACCGAGAACTTTTGAGATTGATCTAGCTTTCTTCTGTCCATCCAAATCAAGGTTTTATCACTGAGATTGGATATAAACTTTGATGAACTTTCAGGGTCAGAAAAGAGCACTATGCTCCGGCACTTGGAGGAATCATGCTCTCTATAGGCGTCCAGCTTTCCATATCCGACTTCGCGATTGTTTTGCAGAGGTGAGCTTACAGTCCATGTTTTTTTGCACTGAGAAGTTCTTCCTTTTCTTTTTTCGATTCAGGCCTTTGCCTCTATGCATGGGCTACGTGCTTCAATACGTGATGAAGCCAATACTCGGGTTTTTGGTAGTGAGAGGCTTCGGTGTTCCTCCTTCGTTTGCCGCGGGTCTCATTCTCACGGCTTGTGTTGCGGGTGCTCAGCTCTCCAGCTACGCGGCTTACTTAAGTGAAGGCGACATAGCTCTCAGCATCATGCTTACGAGCATCAGCACGATTACTTCTGTGATCGTCACGCCTTTTCTTACGCAGTTTTTGATTGGCTCAGTTGTGCCAGTGGACGTCGTAGCCATGGCGAAATCAATTCTCCAGGTAAACTATGGCCTCGAGATTTCATGTAACTCAAATCCTTTCCTTGTTTCAGGTGGTCTTTCTTCCGGTTCTAACAGGACTTACTCTCAACACTTACGCAAAGCCGCTGGTGGACAGAATACGTCCCGTGATGCCGCTGGTTGCCATGGTTTGCACGTCGCTGTGCATTGGAAGCCCTCTGGCTCTCAACCAGTCGAAGATCATATCAATGGAAGGTCTCCAGCTTTTGTTCCCGGTGCTGGTATTCCACGCCCTTGGCTTTGGTCTTGGCTATTTCATCTCGAGACTTCCCTTCTGGAGGTAACTAAAGTTCTTCGCTTCTAGTTCCGTTAATCCTTACTTCGAGTTCCTTTTTGTTCTGTATCTCAGGCAAAATCACAAGGTGTCAAGAACACTGTCACTTTGCACTGGAATGCAAAGCTCGACGCTAGCAATGCTCCTGGCCACCCAGTTTTTGGGCGACACTCAAGCAGTTCCTCCGGCTTGCTCGGTGGTGATAATGGCAGTGATGGGATTGACGCTGGCTACTTGGTGGGGAAAAGAAGAATCAAACAACAAGACGCCATCGTCGTCTTCCTCCAGCGCTCCAGTCTTCGCGTAGCACAAGAAATTTTTACAGGCAGCAGTTTGTAAATATGAGATATTTATCTCGAAGAACTGGAAGTTCTTCGTTGTGACCGTAAATTCCCAAGTGTCCACGTGGCAGAGTAACGAACCGCCACGTGGAATAAAACCGCCGTCAGCAGGCATTTATAGATCACCAAGCAAAGAGGGTTTTGTGCCATTCTTTCCGTGGGCTTTTTCGGTTTTCGAGGTAGGGTTCTATCTCTCGATCGCTTCGATTCTCCTCCTTGTTCTCTCGCCTTTCTCGCAGGCGCGCTTGCTACAATGTCTGGATCGGGCGAGAAGGGCTACTCCTACAAGGGCTCTGGGACGAACTCGCAGGGAAATCACTACTGCTCTCGCGATTATGGCGCCTCGGCTCCAAATCCCAACGCGTACCACTATTCCAACCAGAACGGATCCTACTACTACTCCAATCCCAATGGATCGACGTACTACAACAGCGGCAAAGGCAGCGCGACCTACAGTCCGCCCGCGAGCAAGAAGTGATCGCGTCGCAGTGAAGAAATTTCCTTTCATGTGTGTCCGTGTGTTTCTTTGATTCGCGAGCGCCATCGCGGCTTCTTGTGTTGCTTTCTCTCTTGGAATGCCAGGAAAAGCTTAATCGTGATTATTGTGGTAAATAGGCTTAGTTGACTAAACAAATCCGACCATTTGGGCGGGACATTTTAAAGCCAACGGCTAGTCTATTTGCCCTTTTGCCCTTGTTTCTTTTAGGTTTTGGGAATGGCAGCGATGTTAGATTTCTTGCGTCGAGCGTCTAGAGAGGGCTGTGGCGGCGATCTAGCTGATGACGCTGCTCGCCAGGATCCGATGATCGAAGAAGCGTCCGCGGCAGAGGATTCCAGGGTCGCGGCCAGGGATGACGAAGAAATCACGGTTTTCTCGAGCCCGGTGCGAGATTTCGAGCTGGATTTGGGAGATGGAGAGGAAATTCTTAGCAGTTTCTGCGAGGGGAACGAGCTCTCGTTCAATTACATTCCAGGTATGTTCTTGTTCTTGCGAGAAGCATCGCGAAATACTCTGCCGCCATGCCTATGCCTATTTCCAGACAAGGTCGTGGCCGCGATAAATGCCGGTGGCTCATCGATTCTAGATACATCTTTCGGCATCGATTTCGTGGACGATCGATTTTTCTCTGGTGGAGATGTGCTTAGAACTGCCGAAGATATCGTTGATGCGCAGGAGCCTTCGCTATACCGCACAGCAAGGTATGGGGAGGTTACTTACGCCCTAGATGGACTGGAAAGTGGAGATTACTACGTGGATATCCACTTTGCCGAGATTATTTTCACGAATGGTCCTCCTGGGATGAGGATCTTTGACGTCTACATTCAGGACGAGAAGGTGAGAGTCTTTGGAATTTTTTCATGTTCTTTTCACTTTTTACGTTTGTCCTTCTTGCGTATAGGTTGTCTCGGATCTTGACGTCTATGGACGGGTGGGGTCGAACAGGCCCTTGATTTTGCTAAACGTGCGAGCTGCAGTCGACGGCGGTGTTCTTACTTTGGCATTTCGTGGCGTTGTTGGAAATCCCACCATCAGCGCCATCTGCGTTCACAGAGCTCCTCCTCTTGGTGCGTTTCTTCAATGTAGTAAATAATTTGTTGATTTTTTTGTTTGATCCAGCTAAGCGAACCGGTCGTAAGCCACGACCAATTTACGAGCTTGCGTTGGAAAACTGCCAGAAGCAGAATGCTCGCAGACTCACGTTTTGTGAGCAGGTTCGTAATGCAGCGCTACTTTTTCTCAAACTATTAATGATGGTTTGGATTGCTTCAGATGAGGGATAAAAGTCGAGGAGCAGTTACTGAAAGCGAGCAAAGATTGGAAGAACTCAGAAACGAGTGCCATCAGGCCTGGATTTCTGTTCAAGAATCCAATCGCCAAGCTGAAAAATTACGTGATGAACTTTCCGTGAAGTCTCTTACTGTCGATACACTCGGTACGATTATCTAGATTGAGTTAAGACTTTATGCTTTTTGTTTTGTTATCAGCAAATGCCGTGGAAACTCAGGTGCTGGAGCTAAGAGATTTGAAGGAAAAAGAAATGAACGAAAAGACGAAGTTGAAGCTAGCCGTCAGTGATGCCCAGAGGAAAGTCGAGGTTAGCGTCCATTTCTTTCTCTGTCTTCTGATACTTATTCATTTGTTGATAATCCAGGAACTCAGAATACTCTATAGTCTCCTGTCCAAGGACGCAAGAGATTGTATATGCTCCTTTCCAGATCCCCATGGCATGGTTTCTGCGGTTCAAGCTTTAGGTAAGGCCGAGCGCAGTTGGACTTACTTCAATGCTGAATATATCGTTTTTGTCAGTGAATGAACAGAAGGAGTTAAAGAAAAGACTACTAGACGAGAGTCAAGAACGGAAGTTTTTGTACAACAAGTTGATTGAAATGAAAGGCAAGTTTGCTACATCTGTATAATTGATTTCATGAGTTTTCTTCCAGGGAACGTTAGGGTGTTTTGCAGATGCAGACCGTTGAATGCATCAGAAGCGTCAGCATCGTCGGTGTCAGTAGTCGAGTTTGACTCCGCTAGAGAGAATGAACTCGTCATTCGGGCTGGCACCAATCCGAAAAAGCTCTACAAGTTTGATCGAGTGTTCACTCCCGAAGACGATCAACGTGAGTATATGGCAAAGTCTATATTCACAAGCTGATCCTCGTTTCCGTTGTGCAGCTGAAGTGTTTGCAGACACGTCTCCGGTCGTTGTATCTGTCCTGGATGGCTACAACGTGTGCATATTTGCCTACGGACAAACAGGTACTGGCAAAACATTCACGATGGAAGGCATTCCAGGAAACCGAGGTGTCAACTATCGTACATTGGAGGAACTTTTTCGACTATCTACTGTACGCAAAGGAGAGGTCAACTATGAGATAAAAGTTAGTGTTCTAGAAGTTTATAATGAGCAGATCCGAGACTTGTTGACAACACCATCTCAAGCTGGTCTGGCGCCAAAGAGGTAGGCAAAGCTATTATTGCGGCTTGCTAACACATTTTGTTCAGGCTAGAAATTAAGCAAGACGCTGATGGTGGCCATCGTGTTCCTGGCCTCGTCGAGGCTGAGGTACACAGCATGACAGAAGTATGGGAGGTTCTCCAAAGCGGGAGCGCTGCTCGAGCTGTTGGCTCTACAAATGCTAACGAACATAGTAGCCGTTCTCACTGGTTTGTATAACGTCTTGAAGTTTAAATTTTGGTCTCTAATGATGCCGTTGCAGCATGTTGTGCGTGAAAGTAAGAGGCGAGAACATGACTACAGGAGAATGTACTCGCAGCAAGCTTTGGCTTGTCGATCTTGCTGGAAGCGAGAGAGTTGCAAAAAGTGATGTTCAGGGTGATCGCCTGAAAGAAGCTCAGAACATCAACAAGTCGTTATCAGCCCTGGGAGATGTTATTCACGCTCTAACGACGAAAAGTAACCACGTGCCTTACAGGTAATTCAGGTCTAGAGCAACGCAGACATTAATTAGTCGGGCATTGTGCAGGAACTCGAAGTTAACACATCTTCTGCAAGACTCGCTTGGTATGTCTGGCGTTCCCTCTTCAATTGTCCATTCATTCTTTTGTGCAGGAGGAGAATCGAAGACTCTTATGTTCGTACAGATAAGCCCCACCGAGGCTGATGTCGGGGAAACGTTGTGCTCCTTAAATTTTGCTAGCAGAGTACGTGGTGTAGAGATGGGTCCGGCAAAGAAGCAGCTCGATTCCTCGGAGTTTTTCAAGTATAAGCAAATGGTAAAGTATTTCTCTGTGAATCTCAGTCTCCTAAAACCCAGAGCATGCAGGCAGAGAAGGCTAAGCAAGATGTGAAAACCAAGGATGATAGCGTCAGAAGGCTCGAAGACAGCTTACGTACCACCGAAAGTAAACTGAAGGTAAAAGAACAACTGTGTCAGAGCCTAGCTGAAAAGGTCAAGGACCGAGACAAAGTTGCTGCTGAACTGGAGCTCCAGCTAGCCACCGAGAAGAAAGCTCGTCTTGCAGCAGAAGTGGCTCTCAAGGAAAAGCGTCTGAAAGCTGATAGAGAAGGATCGTGGGACAGGGCTGACAGGGCGAATGCGGAAGAAGCTCTTGAAGCTGCGTTTAAAACAGCCGCTAGTTTTCACCCCAAGGAAAATAGTTACAGACAACCGTTACAAGAGCGGGCGCTGGAGAATGAGCTTAAGCCGCTAAGCAAAGACGAGAAAGCTCCCAAAGTCCTTGGTGAAAACCGTGCTCTGCAAAACGAGAACATCGATCCCCAAAATCCAGATGGTCTTACTTCGGTTCTACGCAAGCCTCCACACGCAAGGCTGAAGGTGGTACCTTCGAGATTCAATTCTCCGCCGCTTATGCCAATGCCCCGCCGAACTTCGCTGTGCGGAATCACTCGACGGACGTCCTTGGCTCCTGCTCCAACGAAATTCGTCGTGGAGACTCCATCAACTCAGCTTAAGTCATCGGAGGTGCAAGAGGACATTAAGACAGTGCAGAGTATCGTCCAAGCAGAGAGCCGCACCTTCCAGGTAGAAGATAGCAACGTCCCTTCCGTAGCCTGGAAAGGTATCGACGTTCCTGGAACGCTCACAAGGCTAAGGCAACACAGAAGAGTACACTTCAGCTCGCCGTTAATGCGGTCGAGGGAGAAGCTGATGGCGTTGAAGAAGGAAACGTGCGACAACCTCCCGGAAACAAAGCAGTCCAGTGGTACCAGAATGAGACGAGTAAGTTTGGTGGCCAGGTCCTGGAACAAGCATCCAGGAGGAGCCCAACGAATTCTCAGTGGCAGGAAGGGTTCCATGCACCAGCGTGAAAGGGGCTGGAACAAAGGATAGATAAGAATGGGAGCCGCAGCATACATACACTACGAAGCAGTTGTGCTCTTCATATAGCAAGTAAGCTTACATGTTTCTAATCACGTCATTCGTTTTACATCATTAGTTCTTTCTAGATATGTCAAGGAATAGCTCTAAAGTCCGGCTGAAAGCAAACCAGTGGCGGAACGGCGATCCTAAATGCACTCTCGGGGACATGGCTCCAGACATCAAGCTTCGTGTCATAAGCGAGTCCCCCGAGTTCTGGGTGTCCCTTGAGAGAGGCTCCAATCAGCCGACCGGTGAAGGACGCCTCAAACTGGTAAGCTCTTACAGACGCAGTCTGCTCGACCTTTACAAAAAAGTCTTTCAGGAGATTACACGGCATGCACAGCCAGAGCACCCACGGGCTCTTGATCAGCCGCTTGCCTTGGTCGAGCTCCCATACCGCAATGGAGTTCTCATCACTGCCCTCTATCCGGACCCCGGATACCGTCACGTAGCGCCCCCGAAAGTCGACGAGATTGTTGGAGATAGAAACGTCGCGCTCGTCGACTCTAATGGACCCGCAAGGTGGGCTCACTCTCCTGAGGAGTTTCCAATCGTACAGGCTGAGCAGCAGCGTCTCTGAATCGCACGCGTAGTAGACGAGCTCGTCGCTGGCGACGATCACTCCGGTGGAAGGCTTGAAACTCTCCTCGGCCAGCGTCGTGGCCCAGTCCCCGCGCATGGAGCTGTAAGTATGGATGTAGAACTCATCGAAGATTATAACCGTGTAGCTCTTGTTCCAGGCTTTGGAGCTTGGATCCCGCGCCATCGCCATGCCGAGAGGGCCCGAGTCGAGAGTGGAAGGATGCGGCAGCCTCCTGCTAGATCCCGTGAGCGGATTAAAGACGAGGATCTCGTGAGCAAGGCCTCGGAGATAGCCGACCGTGCAAACCAGGCCTCCCAGCGCCGACCAGTGGAGGATCCTACACCGGGGATTTGGAGGAGCTTTCAAGGATTTGCGAAGCGAGAGCTTGGGCAGGAGGTGATGATTGACGTCGCTGCTGCTGTGATCGTCGTCCAAGGCGATGATCTCGTCGTCGTCCTTGAGCAGCAGTGACCACGATTGATCGCCATTGTTGTGCTGGAGGAGAGCCTGGAGATCGTGATTTGGGAACTTACCACCCACGCAAAGGTAGGAGCTGAGCTTGATCAACTTGGCCATTTGTACAAAAAGGGTGGCAAGAGAGTAAAATTTAGGGCCCAAATTGGAAGTATTTTGGGTTCTAGTATTTTAGGGTTTGTGGTGATATGGACAATAGCAGTTGGAAGAGAATATTACAGGAGTTGGCGGTAAGTTTTGATGAAGCGGGTGGTTTTTACTGCGTTCTTTTCTTTCAGCAAAATGGTGAGGAGATGCTAGAGGCCGAGAGGGAAATTCTACGGACAATGCGTGAAATGACGAGGCATGAGCAAGAGATTGGAGAGACGATGCAGCAACTCGAGGAGAAAATCACACAGGCACTGGAGCAAGTCCAGCAGATGATCTGGAAAGAAGATCATCAAGATGTTAATTGATCGAAAGAAAACGTGTGAAAGACATGAGAAAACTTGGTAGGATTCTTCGTTTGCTTTCCTCCTTTTCAATCGCAGACGAGCTCTTTGATCTCCTTCTCGAAGCACTCGAGCTGCGTCCTGATCTTTGGGAGGAACTGGCTCATCTGGGATCGGAGGTGCTCGCGTTCTGGCTCGGGCAGCGTCTCTGGAACTTCGGTGAAGGCTACGTCTATCTGCATCATCCGCTCGGCTCAAAGCTTTGTGCTGAGAGGAAACAAGACATACCCGAAGATCGTCAAGATCACCCAAGCAAGTATCGACCGAGAGTGTCCCTTCCACTTGAAACGGCTCACCGACCTCGATCTTGCCTGCGCAACGTTTTACGTTGGTCTCTGCAGCATTCATCTTAAAAGATTAGGATACCGAGAAAGTCCAGCAGAATGTCGAAGCTGTAATCCACTCGTCTTTTCCCACGTACTGTGAGTATCGCCGCCTGACACAGAGAGTGAGCGTTGGAAGAAACAGTAAGATTCCCAATCTTCGTGCTTACATCACCAGTGCAGCGAGAAACATCAGTCACGTAGGCTGAACCCTCTCCAAAAGTGATGGGCTCCGCAGCAAGTAAAAGCTCCTGATCAAAAGAAAAAGCTCAGACGTTTGTCGTGGGTTTCGTAAGAACCATACCCTTAGCTTCGAGATAGCCCAGTCGTTGAGGTTTCTCTCCTCCCAAGCGTTCTAGAAAGAAAAAAAAAATTCGAGTGAGAAGACAGTGGAAAACAACAGAAACACACACACACACAAACACACACAAAGGACTCTGAAAGAAGTGGAGAAAGAGAGGAAGGGAGAAACAATGGAAGTAAAGAAGAAACAAACACACACACAAACATACTCTGAAAGCAATGGAGAAGGAGACGGGAGAAAGCAATGGAAGTGAAGGAGAAACACAACAAAACCTGGAGTAGCTAGTTGCTCAGACCTTCAAGTAGACTGCGCAAGACAATCCAAGAATGTATCACTCTACAAGAATGCGATTCAACTCCACCAGCATTGCATTGTATTTTGCGCACTTACTCGATCGGTCGCCATACACATGGAAGCAAACCTCCGGCTCACGAGCAATGGCGGCATTCCCTGCGAAGAATAAGAAGAAAAAGGCCTCGCTCAGTCTATTGCTGATCGACAACCCACCTGAGAGCAGCTGCTAGGATTCCTGGGTAGCGGGAAGCGCAGGCATCGAGTGGAAGCGCCTCGAGGCTCGGCGAGAATGGAGCACAGCATCCTTCCGCCGAGGAGACGCGCGCCCGTCGCAGCCATTGCCGCTTAAACCCTAAAGCCCTGGAGCAAAATATCTTCTCTTTACGTCTATACATTGCCAAGAACCCTAAAAACAGAGCTATGCTCTGTTCGCAAATGCCTTGGATCCTTGGATTACGTGTGCATGATCGTTTGTTTGAGACGAACACTATATGTTTCTTAATTACATGGCAGTTTCGAATGCTTGGGCTTCCTTGAGGTCTCGCAACACTTGGCTCATTTTGGGTCGCTCGTTTGGGTCTCTTGCCACCGATTTTGCTGCCACATTCGCGAAGATTGCCATGCTTCCAATGCTAAATCGCCCTGCGATGTTTCTATCCACGACTTCGTTGTAAGATCCACTCAGGAGATATGGTCTTGCCTGCGAGCACGAAAGAAGTATCAGAGGGAATCGTGCATTGTGCGAAGGGAAAACTTTCATACCCAAGTGATGATGCTGTATTGATCGGCAGGAACGCGGTCACTGAGTGGCTCTCTTCCACAAATGAGCTCCAAAAGCACCACCCCAAAGCTATAAACATCACTCTTTTCGGTAAGCTGGTTTGAGGCATAGTATCTGAAACAGCGAAAGACAACTACTGTGAACCGCTCGAACTTTAAAACAACTCTTTCTTACTCTGGATCGAGATATCCAACCGTGCCTTTTACCAGAGTTGTGACGTGCGTCGCATCAATCCTAGTGACGTGCTTGGAGAGCCCAAAGTCTGCTACCTTGGCATTCATCCCCGAGTCGAGAAGGATATTGGTGCTCTTCACGTCCCTGTGAATGATCTTGGAGTCGCTCCCATTGTGAAGGTAATCCAGTGCTGAAAAGATCATGATTCAAGTTTGGTCAACAAGAGAAACGTAATCAAAGTGTTGAGTTACCTGTCGCAGCACCCACGGCTATCTTTACCCGTGCTTTCCAATCTAATGGAGACTTTGAGCCTGAGAGAAAGAACTTTCTTTTAGCACAATGCAGTTTGTTTCGTGCTTACCATAGAGGTGCTCCATTAACGTCCCTCCTCCCATAAACTCGTATACAAGAAGTTGCTTCTTTGACTTTTGGCAGAAGCCTACCAGTTCCACGAGATTTTGATGGTGTACACGAGATAGTAGGCTCACCTGAAAGCCAAAAACCAGCTTGATGGTTTTTGTTTCTTCTAAGAACGAACCTCATTGATAAACGAGTCGGCTCCAAGCTGAGACGCATCTGATCGGACTTTGATGGCGACTTCCTGACCGTTTGCAAGTCTCCCATGATAAACCGGACCAAAGCTTCCTTTCCCGAGCTCGGTCTTGAAGCCGTTTGTTGCAGTGCTGAGCTCTCTGTACGAGAACTCTTTGCATCCAATGAGATCTCTTGAACCCGCCCTTATTTCTAAAGAAGAAATCGTCATCGGAAGCGAAAACATCACCAAAATAAATGTACCTCTTTCAAATGATTTTTCCTTGCTCCGGTTTCTTCGTAACAGAAGGAAACCAAGAGCAAGAACCAAAACAGCAGCTATAGCGCTACCAGTCGCGATACCAACAACTTTTTTCGTTTGGCTCTTGCTCTTGAGATCCACAACAATGCCTGTTTCCGGACCTGGGGCCGGAGGCACTGCTGCAGCTTGAGAGCAGTCTGCAGAGCCAAGACAAGGATTTCCGGTAAACCTGCGAAAGAAAACGTTACTTCCTGTCTGACCGGAGAAGAACTTACTGAAGTTTTCCCACGAGCGCAGCTGGAATCTGTCCCGAGAAATTGTTGTTTGCAACATTCCTGTAAGATAAGTAATTATCTTTTCTCTTGTAAAGAAAGTCTGGCTCTCACACTGATTGTAGATTCGGTAAATTCACCAAGGAATCAAGCTCACCGCTTAAGCTGTTATTTTGCAAGTTCCTATATCAACACAGTAAACACACTTTAAATCAGCTTTAGAAAAAACGGGACTTACAGCAGCTTTAAGTTCTGTAATGAACGTGAATCAAAAGAGAGTGCCCCGGACAGCTGGTTGTAGCTCAGATCCCTGTCAACTTCAACAGCTTAAACAACAATAGCATAGAGAGAAAATAACGATAAATAGCATCTTACAAAGTTTCAAGCGCTGACAAATCCCACTGATTGACGGGAATAATTCCAGAAAGTTGATTGTTTGAAATGTTTCTGTCCAAAAGGAAATGTATGCGTTGGTTGAACCACAAAAAAGCTTTTGCATACTCACAGATATGTTAGCTTGGAAAGGTCCCCCACTTGAGGATACAAGGAACCCTTCAACCCCTTGCCAGAAAGATCCCTATGGGGAAAATGAAACCATTGCTCTTATTAACAACAAAAAGAAAAAGATCAATGTCACTTACAAAAATTCCACTTGAGGAGATTGTACAGATGAGCACTTCACTCCGTTCCATGGGACTGGTAAGCAAGGATCGTGGTCGCCCAGCGTTATCGTGTAATATGAACAAATGGAGCTTAGAGATGTGACTGCATGTCGAAATAGTAAGCACTTTTTGCATCAGAAGTTCTGAAAGAAAAGCATACCATCAGCACTCGTTGTCGGAGGAACAACAGTAACTGGACGGTAAACTTCCAATGCGTTTATCTCTGGCGAACCAGCAATGCCTTGTAAAGTAATGTTGAGTGTTGACTCGGCCGATCGCGAGGTGGTCGAATTCCCAGTAAAGGAATACGAAGTCCCCTGAAAGCTACCGGGGAGAAGAAAGCTTGACTTGCTCGAGTTCCCATTTAGCAGAATGTCGAAGGACGTTTGACTGGTGGTGTTGGTCAGCATTGCAAAGTGTGCGACGATAAAATAGCTTTGCGTCATTTTCCTATCAGCGACAGCGAGAAGGTAGCTGAGAGAATTTCCTGAACCCACTCTAGATGTCTGGAGAATCGATTGGGGTGCTGCTGGTGCACTTGAGTTTATGGAACCATTATAGATTGAAGCTGTTGAGTCTGTAGGAAAATAGTTGGTATCAATATCCCATATGCGATCCTGTTGATCATCTGGATATCTGGCACACGAAAAGCATTTAGATGAGAGGACGTGCGAGGACATATGCAATGCAAGCTACCTGAGTGTCTTCGTCGTTTCACCACAGTTGATCCTGTAGATCATTTGCAGCATTGCGCCACGGTCTAGTCTCGATGTAGCTGCGTCATAAGCATTTTCTTCGAGCGGCCGAAGTTCTAAAGACGAGATAACTGGAACACCACCTTCTGAAGTCGCGAGCAAACAGAAGGCTGTAGCGCCGGCAGTGGAAGAAGTCCACACAAGTTCCTCAATCCAAGGGTCCCTGGACGAAAGGTCCACCGTTGACACCACAGTCTGGTTCATAACAAACTGGAACGAGGGAGGCCTTCTGCGCGTGTCGTAGTTTCCATATCTAAAAGTTGCTCTCGTGAGATGCAAGCCGGCTTGGTGACCGATGTCGTAGCAATTGAAGTTGCGCGTGGTCTTGGAGAATGGGAAGTATCTCACAGAATTACCTTGGATGCTCGACGTGATGCCTACGTTGTTCACAAAACTCGCATCTGGAATCCAAATAAGCCCAGTGGTTTTATCTGTGAAATTGCTCGACGATCCACATGACAAGCTCAGAAAATCTGGTGCAAAAGAAAGAAAAGAACAGAAAATGAGATGAGTGGCATTTAATTCCGCGAAAATGATAGAGGGATGTACCTGGCCCTGGAGTCTGCGAAGAAATCTGACGAAGAATAAACGCGATGCAGAGGAGAATTGCCAGACCCTCTTTCATCTTTGTCGCTCGCTATCGACACATTGGAAAATTAAGAGTGAATTGGAGGAGCTCCCCTGTTCGTCTTCTTCGTCTTCTTCTTCTGAATTCTCCTCTTGTTAGTACCTATTGACGCGATCCAGTCCCCAGTAGCTTACCATAATGTAAGCTTCGTGACTTAGTCGTGTTCTTATCGTGGGCATTGGTGTCCGTCCGATTGCCTCCATCCTGGCCGTCGACACGATTTTAGCTTAAACAAAACATTTTAGTTAAGCTTTAATACCTCTCTTTACTTCACTCTCGTGAGAATGAGCTGAATGGCCGCGTTCGCGGAGGAGAACGCGCCATGGAAGCTCTCTTTGAAGGAGAAGCTCTCCAAATTCTCCACGATTCGCATGAGGATGTTGCCAGCATCGAGCTCCTTCTCGATCAGGCAGCGGTAGTAGACAGTGGCGCATCGATCGCTGATCTCGGCGTTGGCGGGCTCCGGGCAGTACTCGTTGTCGAGCCAGGCATGGAGATTCTCCCTCAGCCACTGCGATTCCTGCGAGATTTTCCAAGATTTTCGTCACGATCGATGGATTGATCGATAGCACACACCTCTGCTGCTGCCGACGCCGTCGACCATTCCACCGGTAGCATCAGATCTTCCACGCCCTCTTCTCCTTCTTCTTCTCCTTCTTCCTGGCCGCCTTTCTTGCCCGCATTCTTCTCTCCATCTCGCCTCGAATCGTCCGAGAACGCTCTCGCAATCGTGCCGCGATTCCTCCTGCTGCGATCGATCCTGCATTGCGAAGAGAAGAAGCACCGCGGGGTCTTGGCGCCGATCGGGCGTGCCGCTGGAGGAGCCGCGGATAATCTGGCAATGGACGCCATAGCCATGAGATTTTAGGGTTTATGCGCGGTAGCTATGAGCGAGGCATCCGTGACTCCCAGGTAGGAATTCTCTTTCCTGCTATTTCCGATCGCTTCTACTCCGACTAGGCAGCGCGATGGAGATTCGCCGCGGCATTTCTACATCGCGGTCGATCGGCAAGAATTTAAAATGGTGAAGATAGTCTCTGGCTCTCTCGTTTTACATGTGTTCTTCGTTTTCCTTTCTAGAGAACTTTCTTCGATTTGCTTGAGCACTTCTGGAAGCGATCGGGAGTTCCTCTGGTTATTTGCTGCAACGCGCGCGACAGCCTCGACGCAGTCTTCGCCGCCGCTGCGTCGTGTCCACACTTCCACGTAAAATTCCTCGTAAGAAAAGCTTTCTTCTTTTTCGTTTCTTGCCAGCTCTTTTCCTTCGAGACTAAACGATTTGTGAGACGCAGCACAGTGATCTATGCGAGCACGAACGAGCGACAACGATCGAAGAGTTCCGGCGTGCCATGGCAGAATGGAGGAAGAGTGAAGTAACGATGGAGGGTGATTCCACCATGCCTCCAAAGCTCTTCCTCCTCCTTGTCACCGACGCTTGCCTGCCTTCCAGCACTTTTGGAGAGCATTCCCTTCTCGCAAGAGCGCTTGTCAACTACGATCTTCCCGTGAAAAAGGCGAGCTTTCTTCTGATAGCTTCGCATTTCTTTCGTTCTCCCCGGGATTTCATTCTTTGTTTTCGTTTGCTTCTCTAGGAAGCGTACTTGAGGCGTCTCGGTGCTTGTTTGAGCCCCTCCGGAGGGACACAAAGCGTCACAAAGAGTTCTACGAATGAACCGAGCACCAGTAAGTGGTAGTTCTGTGTTTATCTCTTGTGATAGATTATTGTTCTCTTCTTTCCAGATGGTGTCGTGCTTAACATCGTTGTTGGTGGCGAAGTATCCACACTTCGCAGCATCGAGGAAGGCTGCGTCGTGATCATCAACGAAATGCCGATTAACGTACGTTTCTTCTCTCAAACTTCATCTTTGATCTTCACACTACTGGCTTGCAGATCACAGAGCTGTTGTAACGAGCTCACTGGAAGGAAAACGTTTCACTTCTGCTGCTACCAAATACAAAGAGAGAACTTTTGAAAAACAAATTGGAAATTTATGTGCAGGTATAGAAAGAAACTTTTGGAATCTATTTCTTCTTCTGTGGTAATCTCTGAACAACCACCTGCAGAAAAAAAAAATGAAAAACAAGAGATCAAATTGCCTTGGCAAGTAATTTACTTTCCTTACCTTGCCAGCATTAGACTTATCTCCAACAATTGTTTGGCAAGCCAGCCTCCAAGTACCAGGCTTCTGAAAGTTTCAAAGTAAGAAATTGCTCAAGTTGTTTGGTTTGACATTCTCTTTTACCTGTTTGAGATGCTTCTTTTCAGCACTGGTTGGCTGACTTAGCAGCTCTTGTCCCTCTAAAATCTCCACAATACAAGTTCCACAGCTGCCACCCCCTCCACAGTTCATCAGCTTGCCCTTCAGTAAGAAAAAGAAAAAAATCAAATTTAACCCTTGACTTTGTTCAGAAACTTACGTACAATCCGTAGAGCTCGAGCTTGTTCTCGCGCATCACATTCCTGAGCACCTTCTCGCCGCTCTTGACACTCGTTTTCAACACATCCCCTTTGCCATCGGGCTGCACAGCACACACACACAGAAAAAAACCTTGGAAATTGCTGAAGTTTGGATGCTTTTTTACCCCCAAAAATTCGAGCTCTATCGCTGCTGGCTCGCTGCTTGGCTGCTCACTACCATCTTGTAGATTTGAGAACAATGGCCTGGCTTTCTTCCTTGGAATGAATCGCAAAGGACTTGAAAACTCGCATTGGCATATGGAGAATGCGGGTGAGACAGCCATAGAAGAGCAAAAAGGAGAAAATTTATCTGTTGACAGTGGGATTCGAACCCACGCCCTTTCGGACCAGAACCTTAATCTGGCGCCTTAGACCAACTCGGCCATGTCAACCTTTGCTGGTAGAGTGTGTAAGTTTAACCACCAATCGCAAAGCTAAACACAAGTTTTTTAATAATTGAAATTATGTTTAGCCAATGCCAGCGGATTGGATGCGAAGCTCTTCTCTCCCGATCAAAACGACGATGAAAACGCTTGCTGCTACCATCCCGCCGTAATTTTGTGGTTCTTTCCCGCGTTTTCACAGATTTTTGCCTCCAATTCTATCTTGTGCATGGAATTGGAACTGGACCTGGAGTTTTTCGAGCTGTCAATCCGTGCTTGATTTCTTCTGATTTCAGCCCCTGTTTCACGACGGTGGGAAACAATGGAGCTCCTGCAAACAGCAGAGTCACGATTTTAGCTTGTTCTTAAGCATTCCAGGGTACGTCTACTTCCTTCTCCTCCTTCTTCCTTCTTCTTTTTGTGTTTGTTTTTCTCTTCTTTTCTTTTATTTCTGCTGCGGTCATTTTTTCGTTCGTTGTTTTTGGTCCTTTCATTTTGGAGGTTACATTTTCTCCTTCCTCCATCAGCTGTACGCACGGAAAGCACACATCAGAGAAACCAAAGCCAGCTCCCAAGCCAAGCAAAACTTTACCCAGGGAGACGCCGGCATGCTTGAGATGCAAACAAGGTTTCTACTGTGCAGATCACGGAGCGCAAACCTTAAACCTCTTGCTCATTCGCATGATGGCTCTGATCTTTTTCGCTCTTTTCTTATCCTTTATGCTAATTAAAATATCTGTTCTCCGCAGGCTCAAAGATATTGGACCAGTGGCAGGAAAGAAAACCATGATTCTCGAACAAAGCTTGTACCTCCAGGAATCTCGTACTTGATCTTTTGCCGGCTCAAGGCTAGAGCGCATGCACTCTCCGAGAGTCCGAGAGACAAGGGAAACAACATCCGTGAGGGGGCGACCACACCATCCCGCGCCAAGAAGGAACCAAATCCATCATCAAGAAGCGCAACAACAGATATGGTAAGGATTCCGTCACCAGAACTCTCCCACATATCCACGCCACAACATCCCCAATGGAAGGTGGAGGACAGTGATCGTGAAATGCCAACCAAACGGAATATTGCAAGACCCTCCAGAGCACCACCAAAGTCCCCAAGCCCTACACTTTCCCAGACAGCCAACTTGGTCCAGCACCAAGAAGAACAGCAGCAACTATGACCGCCACCCACTACAAGTGGGGAGGACCCCTGCCTGCAAGAGGTTTGACGGACGTCCTTGACATTTACTAAAGCACGAAAGAGATGCTAACACCAACACGATGAACAAGTCCCACCACTTTTGAGCAATATCGTGGTCTCCTTCACGCAACAGAAACGCCCGTGCTATTGAGTGCCATGCTTTCGAGTTTGATAGTCTTGGCCGGCCCTCGTGTTGACTTCAAAGCATAACAATGTGAATATTCTTTCTATTTTGAAAATCAATTACAGATGATTTCTCTGTTGTCTGTGAAATTTTGCTGTAGGGTGGTGGCCTAAATTGGTGTGGTTGCCTCCTGTAATTCAATGCTCCTGCAGCGCAGATTTATCTTCGAGCAGAATCTCTCTGCGGCAAGTCTGGCATCGGCATCAGCATGGCCAACGGCAAGCGGGTTTTGGATCGGGATCGGCTCTAGTGTCGCGTCTTTCTTAGTGAGCATCCCGGTTCTCTTCATCACTTTCAAGTATCCTCCTCCACCACCAGCTTCAGCGGGCCAAGCTCCAGCTCCGCCACCAGGATGCCTCGCGATATTGTGCTCAGCATTATTCAGCTTTCTCAAACCACTGAAAAGTGGATCTTCAGCATGGTGGAGTGGTCGGCTTTCTGTGGCTGGAGCGTGACCTTGGCGGCTCTAGTATACAGCATCTCTTGCTCAGCTCATCGCCACTAGGGAGTTGCTACCGAAATTCATGAGGCTGATTGCTAAACCCATTTTTTATGTCATTGCATGTGTTGTTTCATTGATCTTTGGACCAGCTTTCTATGACACCCATGGCTGGGCTTACAATGCTTTGGTTGTCACATATGGCATTTTCTCTTCATAAGATTGATTGCCTCTTTAAATCACATGTATGCCAATAAACTTGAGATATGGGAGGAAGGGATTGTTAGAGATATACATTCTCTATAACATGAGAGTCTATGTGGCATATAAAGGTGTTAAATCCCATAGGGTATAGAATATTTTTAAAATATTTTTGTGGTTTATATCATTCTCCCCTCCTTTATGTACAATAACTTTCAGAAGCTAAATGAGCCTTATATAAAGGGAGTCCAAGGCAATATGTGCACTTAGACTGGAATGACACTAAGGAAGGAAATCCTAAGTTGTTATTAATTAAGCATACTTGATACGATGATGAGAAACTATGTTAAGAACCCCCACAATATTGAAATTAGTCCGTTAATATTCGTTAAATGATAATTTACTATGTCTACAAAACACCCTTGCTATCATGCCTTTTATGTTAGGATATTTATAGAATGTAGAGATTGTCTTGAATATAATGGTGTTCATCCTATGTCCAAATTCAGAATCTAACACCAGTCCATATTTATATCTTCATATTAGACCACTGGTATGCTAAAATAATATTAAATTCTGTTTAACTCAATTTTATGTGCTGATCTTGACATTTAGATGTTGGATGCTTTAAAACTATTCTAAGTCACTCTGTATTTCTGTCTTTTCGCTTCTTGGACTATACATGCAAGAGTTGCTCCATACTCTAGTACTTTCACTCCTTAATTCCATACTTAGGAGTTTGGTTCCATTCCTTCATTCAATGGCCCAAAGCTTTAAAATTTAAGTTCCACTCCACTCTCCTTGGATATGTAGCATGTGACACATGGCATATAGATAAGTTTCACTTCATGATTATCCTATAGTAAATCACTAATGAAAACTATGTGCTACACTTAGGAACTATAAAAGATTTTCCTTAAATAAATGAAGATGCAAAACATAAATTTAAAAAATTGGCTTTAATGTAGTTATGGTAATAACTATAATTGATCATGTGAAAAAAAGGGACTCTTAGAGTCATAGGATTATTCTTATATAGTTATAATGTTAACTCATTTGAATATACCTTTGGATAATAACTATTCTCATAAATATTACTCTGAGATTACCTTACCTTTGCCCTTTATAACTATCTTACACATAACCATAAGGCTATAACTTTATCAAATCTAGATAGCCCTAAAAGTTTAGATGAAGCAAGTTGGTAAAACTGGAAAAATCAATTCAAAAAGAGTTTCAACTTCAAAGAGTCTAGGAAGTTTTGCAATATCACCTGAAGTCCATATACCACCTTCCCTGATTTTCATGTTGTTTATAATCAATACATCAGAAAATGTGATAGTAATAATCAAGCCGACAAAGATGATCCCTTTAAAGGACTCTTTCTTATAGATTTGTATTTGTTATGTGATGCTCTTCAAACAAGCTATAGAAGACCCACATAAGCGGTGAGAAGGTGCTTATTTTCGACAAATCTCCACTCATTCATACTTAGATATGTTTCTGTATTGCAGGAGGGTCTATTACAGAAGGGACTCAAAAAGATAAGGATGGTAAAGCCGACCTCCACGAACAGACATACCTCCAAAACTCGGGATAGCATGGTCCTGAGCAGTGGTGAAACGAAAGCAGTCCTCTCCGCAAAAGGAACGCCCTGTAAGTGTAGACCAACGCTGTGAAAGCTCCGTGCACATCCCGGGCAAACTCTTGTGCGAAAATCGGGGAGGCTTCTGCCGCTGTGCCGTAAAGAAAGAGAGATCCACTAACTTTAATCACCTTGGCTATGGAGCTCATGATCAGACGCAGAGATCCCGTAGAGGGCAGCAGTGAAAGTCGAGACCCATTGCGCGAGCTGTGACCACGAAGATTTGGTAAACATCCACTTTGCAAGGAAATGGAAAAATCTGAGCGTGCTCGTGGCTAGCACTGCCACCGATCCGACTGGCACTGGATTTTCGACCTCCTCATCATCTGATTTCTTTTACCGACCAGCAGTATTTATATGAAGCGGTACGATTGAGTGGATTACTACTGGCTCACTTTCTTCTTTCAGGCTTTTAACGTGTGAAGGAAGACCATGGTCTTCTACCCCACGACAAGGAAGTGGGACTGTGACCCGACTGAAAGAGTAAGCTTGACGAACTTCGTGAGTGACCAAATTTTATTTAAATGTCTCCCAGGGACGCAGGGATTTTATTTTCTGGCTACTCGTTGCCAATGGACGAACCAAAGAGAAGCGAGAAGCTGGTTCTACACATTAATGGGAGCTCTCTGGTGGAAAAGTCACACTTTGACTGCAATGTAAGTTTCTCTTGTTCCTTCTTTCCTTTCCTTTAGTCTTCTCACTGTACAATGGCACGAGGATAAAGCGGAAATGGACACTAGAGTATGAGAAGGCAAACGAGTGTTCACGATCCAAACGTGAGCGAGCTGAACTCACACTTGGAGAAGTTCTCAAAGGGGCTGGATGTCAAAGTTCTTGAGAGCTTGACTTTTCAGGAGCAAGGGGAGAAGTTTGCGTCCTAGGTAACAGACATCACAAAGTAAGCAGTGTATGATCTCTTCTCGCTACTAGCAGCTACACAAACGGCCAAGACGGCCGTGGCTTCAATTGCCTACGTTTGGATGATGCTAATCTTCTGGTCCGGGGAAGGATTTGCATCGGACTGCCTTTGCTACATCAACTGATCTCTGGAATTGGTTTTGTAAGTCACTCTCTCATTTTCTTTGTCCCTGGTCAGCCTCTTATTGTTTATTGTTTGCGTTTTCAACGTAGAGTTCTTTGTCACTCGCTTGAGATCCTACGAAAGACTAGGTGCTCGGCTGATTTCTTTTGCCAACGAGTGCTTATGACCTTGTATGCAGTAAGATTGAGTACTGCTCACTTTCTTCTTTTCAGGCAGCATGTAAAGTTTAAGCGTCAACCACGATTGACGTCTCAGCAAGCATGCAGGGCATGATTGAAGTAAAGGGGCAATTCGATAGCCGAAACCAACGTAGAGCCTCAAGTCGCGGCGGCCTTGGTCGTCGGTGTAGCTGCTCAAGGCGAGAAGAGGTTGAGTGCTGCTTTCATTGTGATCTTGCTCCTGGGAAGTCAAGTCAGGCTTTGATGCCAGGGCCAGCGCCTTTAAGAACATCTCCAGGTATGAGTTCAGCTTAATCACGTTTGGATCGTAAGCACCCGTTCACCTTTTCTTCCAAATCACTTTCTCGAAGTATGATGAGATGCCATGCTGTGATACTGTTGCCTATGCTGATCTCCTGGTCCCGGGAAGGATTTGCAAGCTTGTGGAATAAAGGAATATGTCAAGAGCAAAGACGAGGACCAGATCATTGCCGAAGCCTCCAACATCAGTGACGAGGATAGTGAGGCGAAGAAGAGCTGCAAAGACGAAGCGGCTCCAAAGTCAAGGCAGCAGCGCTACACAGAAAAGCTTTTCCACATGGAGAAGATCTTCCATCTAGCACTATACGAAATTGATGATCGCCAACATCAGTCGTCCATACGGCATTCTGAACTCCAGCTTTTTGAAGGTTTGGAAGCTTCTTGACGTCTAAAGCGCCCTAAGATCCACCTGGATCTCACCTTGGGGAACTCGGGCACACTGTAGTAATTTTGAAGCTCGTCTTGATCAACAAGAAGCATCTTTGTGCGCTCCTTGTCCGTGAACTTGTACACGCCCCCCGCTGGCCGAGGCTTTCAAAGACTTCCAGAGAAGTCTCATCTGGATGAATGTAGCAGCCAAAAGCTCAGGAATCAAGACTCAGAAGTCAGGTCTGCTCTGCTTAACGATCTCAAGACGTGCTTGCTGTGGAATGTTGCTCGATTTCAGGAAGTACCTGTTGGTGTGCTGAGTATGACAAGTTCATGCTGATGGTCCAGCGGAGATACTGAGCGTGTTGCTAGAAAAAGAACGGATAAATTAGACAAATTAAAGAGAAGCTTACTCCTTTCGATAAGCTGAAACTCAAGAAAAGCATGACCATCATGTTTGCTTTATTTTTCAGTGCATAATCCCTAAGTTCCAAAATAAACTAAAGCTGAAGATGTGCCATATAGAGTGGAAGTCTAATGAATTAATTGGCATGAGGGCTACATGATTTGACAAAGTTACCATAAATCACTGAGGATATGGACAAGCCTACATCAACTTTGAATTTAGTAAATGCATCCTTTTTAAAGGTTGGATGATTGATTGTACATAGTGATTGATAAACAAAAGGGGCAAAAAAATGATTAACATGTGAGTAGTGTTGTGACACATGGAAATATAAAAAATTGAATCCAAGACTAAGTCTGAAATCAAATCCAAGATTGGGTCCAAAATCAAATTTAAAATCAAATCTGAAACTAAATCCAAAATAAAGAATTCAAAATTAAGTCCAAAATTAAGTTCTAAACTGAGACTGAAAGCCGAAAGTGCTAACTAATATGACTACAAAAAGCTATACCCAATGATAATGATATAAATATTCAGGAGTTAAAAGTTAGAGTGGGGAAGTGTTAAAAAATTTGTGTAAACAATTAAAGAGAATGACTTAAGAAATAATTCATAAAAGTTCAAATATAAAAAGAAAAAATCTATAAATAAAAGTGTACCACTTTTTTCAATTGGGTGGGGCTCTCATGAGAATTATAGTTCTTAGCTTCCGTCCAAAATAAAATGTAAAATATAATTTATATTCATGTAATTTATGATCTTCAATTAAACATCTAAACTATTTAGAAACATTTGATTAAACACCTTCATAGATTTGGCTCAATTACACGTCTCCATCCTCTTGAAGATCTTCTTGACTTCCACTAAATTGCAGCATTGGATTAACATTGTACTAGCACTGCTTAGCTTAATTTGCATTACGATCAAGTTGGAAAGCTCCCATAGCAAATTGGGTTTGTGCCATGGAAATGGTGAAGAAATGTGCGGAAACTTCACATTTTCATCTTTGCAATGTTGCTAAGATGGCAGAACAGCAGGTGAAAGACACTGAGAATGCCCAGGATCTCTAAATATGTCCACGCCTTGGACAAGGCTGGCCAAGTTCACACAGATAGCTCCCTAAGAGTTTTTTTCTTGCTAGTGGGCCTGCTGTAATGTTCATGTGAAGGAGTTTGACGAGTTCCTGAAGATCCCGCAGATCCGCGACGTAAAACAAACCACTCTTTGTTGTTTCTTTTACTCACGTTTTACCAAGTCTCGATTGTGTTAGGAAGCTTAGGAAAGTGCTGACTTTGAAGTTTCGATTCGAGGGCTTCTTAAAGGGAGATCGCACTGCTTGGATCTGGATTCAAGAATGGACGGTTTCTGATATCGCTTTTCCAGGATTGCATTTCAATCCTCTGGCAGAACGACGCGGCTACCAGGTTCTATCAATCAACAATCACTTGAGCGCGAGTACGGGATCCAGAATTTCTACGAGAAGGCAACAGGATTTGGTTGCTCTGAAGCTCTACTCATCCTTCCCGGCGGAACAAATCATTCGCTTCTCTTCCGCAAGGCGCTCCAATATCATCGCCAGATCGAGGTAAGCTTTCGGATCTTTCCACTACGAAAACAAATTCTCGTGAATTGTGACGAAACAGTAACGATACAGATGGCCCAGTTTCGAAGTCCTTTTTCTCCTTGAATATGTGAGAATTGTCATTTTGTGTCTCTTTTATTTAACCAATTCTGCAGATCGGATGTGTCGGCTTTTCTGATAAGAATTCCGGCCCTCATCCTGGGAATTATAGAAAAGGAGCGACAGATTATCCATAAAGTGGAAGGTATTAACGTTGCTTTCTTATTGTTACATGCTATTGTGCACTACTGCACGGATCAATTAGACGACGCAGCACTAACAGTGAGCGGCATTGCAGAAGTAACAGAGAAAGTGGAAGAATTTTTCGAGGAAGTGGCCGAGTCGATCCCAGAAGACGCAACAAGAGAAAAACTCAGGGACAAGGTGAGCACGCTCATTTGCTTTGCTCCAACCTTCCAAGCATTTTAAGTTTCAACTGTTGGAAGCATAGGTAAAAGCCACAACGGACTCTATGCGTTCGGACATCGGCACCGTCATCGAACCGGACGTCAAGGCTGCAGCCGACATAACCTCTCGAGCTGCGGAGGAAGCACAGAAGCTCAAGGCTGCAGCCGACATAACCTCTCGAGCTGCGGAGGAAGCACAGAAGCTCAAAGACGCGGCGATGGAGCTCGAGGAGAAGCACACAGGTAAGCTCTAGTATCTTTCGCATCACTGTGATTGATCGGAAAGAAAACGAGATTCAACCATTTACTAAGGCACGAAAGAGATTCTAACAGGGAGTACCACTAACGCGATGAACAAGTCCCACCACTTTCGAGCAATATCGTCTTGACGCGGCAGAAATGCCGTCACGCTCGTGCTATTGAGTGCCATGCTTTCGAGTTTGATAGTCTCAAACTGGCCGGCCATCCTCAAGCACGTGTTTGACTTCCTGCTCCACCACAGCATAACAATTTGAATATTCTGACCAAAATTACAGATGGTTTCTCCTCTTACTGGATAGACTAGACGAACTGAAGAGAAGCTTACTCCTCTAGATGTACTCTTTATACCTAGTGCAGCAAGCAAAGTGCTAGGGACACAAGCTTGCTAGAGAAATCTAGTTATTTCTGGCTGGACAGGTAAATTGTCCTCTCAAGAGGTTGCTATGCTTCTGCAAGAAATAATGTCAAATGTTAAATCCTGCATTAACATCCCACTTTTCAATCCCAATATAAGACATTTTTTTTACCAGGTTCTACCCTGAATCTCTAGATCACCATTATAACATAATGTGATCCAGCTATTGATGTGGTTCGTGATAAGCTTGCAAACTTTATATTTTGATTTCGTCTCTTGAATATAGATAACATTTACAATATATATCTATCAAAAAACATTTATTGTAAATGGTTTTACTATATATTTTATATCATATATCAGAATTGACTTATTGAGACTTGGGAAGATCACATTTTGTTGACTATAGAGTTGGGGAGTCAACTTCATGATGATCAACAAAATGCTAATTAATGTATGTTTTTTCTCTCAAACTTCTTTAATTTTCACATTACTGACTTACAGATTATAGAGTTGTTCTAGCAAGCTCATTAGAAGGAAAACCTTTCACTCTTGCTACTACCAAATACAAAGTAAAAGAGAACTTTTGAAAAAACATTGGAGTTAATAATTAATTTATGTGCAGGTATAGAAAGATTTTTTCTTCTATGGTAATCTCTGAACAACCATGTGTAGAAAAGAAAAAAGAAAAACAAAAGATCAAATTGACTTGGCAAAAAGATACTTTCTTACCTTGCCAGCATCAGACTTATCTTTGACAATTGTTTGACAAGCTAGCCTCCAAAGTACAAGGTTTATGAAAATTTTAAGTAATACATTATTCATCTTGTCTGCTTTGAATTCTTTTTTACCTGTTTATTTCTTTTCAGCACTAGTTGGCTTGACTGAGCAACTCTTGTCATTCTAAAATCTCCACAATACAATTTCCACAGCTGCCACCCCCTCTTCCACAATTCATCAGCTTGCTCTTCAGTAAGAAAAAAAAATTCAAATTTCACCCTTGACTTTGTTCATAAGCTCACATAAAATCTGTAGAGCTTGAGCTTGTTCTTTTCCTGAGCACCTTCTCACCGCTCTTGACACTCACATCCCCATTGCCATCGGGCACAAAGAAAAAAGCTTTGGAAATTGCTGGAGTTTTGATGCTATTAGCCCCCAAAATTCGAGCTCTATCGATGCTGGCTCGCTGCTTGGCTGGTCACTACCATCTTGTAAATTTCAGAACAATGACCTTGGAATGAATCGCAAAGGACTTGAAAACTCCCATTGGCATCTGGAGAGACAGCCATAGAGAAGCAAAAACCATAAAAAAAGCCGTGGGACAGTGGGATTTGAACCGATGCCCTTTCGTCTTGGCACCGAAGGCAGGTTGGTGGTGGAGGGCTCTGTGGCGGTTTGTGGCTTCTAGTTTCGTGGTGGAGTCACTTGGGAGGTGGATGGCCCATGAGCAACGCTGAGCATCCATGCTCGTAGTCTCGCTAGAGAGTGCGTTCTCGCTGTTGTTTTAGCCCCTAAGGGGCATTGGGGAATAATACATACACGTTTCATCAAACCGACACCAGAACCGAAATTTGGCGCATTATGTCAGTCTTTGCTGATAGAATGTGAAAGTGTAAGCCAAACTTGTAACGTTAATTATTTTTAGGGCTTGTGTGTAGGAGCAGGAGCGATGGGGAAGGCCCAATGCCAGCGGATTGGATGCGACGCGCTCTTCTCTCCCGATCAAAACGACGATGAGAACGCTTTCTGCTGCCATCCCGGCGTAAGTTTGTGGTTTTCTTCCCGCGTTTTCACAGATTTTTGCCTCCAATTTTGATCTTGTGCATGAAATTAGAACTGGAACTGGATTTTTTCGAGCAGCCGGTATGTGTTGTCAAATCTGTGCTTGATTTCTTCAGTTTGGGATTGCTGTGGTGATTTCAGCCCCTGTTTCACGACGGTGGGAAACAATGGAGCTGCTGCAAACAGCAGAGTCACGATTTTAGCTTGTTCTTAAGCATTCCAGGGTACGTCTACTTCCTTCTCCTGCTTCTTCCTTCTTCTTTTGTGTTTGCTTTTCTTCTTTTTTGTTTTCTTATGCGGTCATTTTCTCGTTCATTGTTTTTTTGCTGTTCTTTTTTTTTGGAGGCTAAATTTTCTCCTTGTTCCATCAGCTGTACGCACGAAAAGCACACATCAGAGAAACCAAAACCAGCTCCCAAGCCAAGCAAAACTTTACCACAGGGAGACACGTCAGCAACACCAATTGCTTGAGATGCAAACAAGGTTTCTACTGTTCAGATCACGGTAACCAAACCTTAAACCTTTTGTCATTTGTCTTGCTCATTCGCACGCACGGAAGATGGCTTTGATCTTTTTTCTCTCTTTACTTTTCCTTTATGCTCGTAACTTAAGATTAAAATATCTGTTCTTCGCAGGCTCAAAGATATCGCAACTCAACGATTAAAAACCAGCTGCGAAAGAAGCTTCGCAATCATCGGTGCAAGCAGCCCCGGCGGCCCTCCCCAACGTGATTGACTTGGATGCAAAGCGGACGTGCAGGAATAAAGGCTGCGGAAAGGCATTCACCGAGCGAGAGAACCATGAAACTGCTTGCAGGATGATAGCTGTTTTTCACGACAGGTCGAGAGGAGTAAGCTTCTCTTCAGTTTATCTAGGCTATCCATTCTAAATCGTATGACGTGTTCTTTTTCTAGTTTTTTTCTTGCTAGTGGGCCTGCTGTGATGTTCATGTCAAGGAGTTTGACGAGTTCCTGGAGATCTCAGGAAAATAGCTAAAAAAATGAAATGCTCTTGCGGAGGAATGCTTCGCGATGGCTCTGACTTGTACGTAAGTTTTCACTTGTTTTCGTTTCTTTAACGCTTTTCTGTTTTGGTTGATAGGATATTGACACTGCGCGTGAATTGGAACAGGTGTATACGGCGTAAAACAAGCCGTCGTTTAGTCCACTCTTTGTTGTTTCTTTTGCTCACGTTTTACCAAGTCTCGATTGTATTAGGTGGCTTCGGAAAGTGCTGACTTTGAAGTTTCGATTCGAGGGCTTCTTAAACGGAGATCGAGCAGCTTGGATCTGGATTCAAGAATGGCTACGGCTTCTGATATCGCTTTTCCAGGACTACGTTTCAATCCTCTGGCAGAACGACGCGGCTACCAGGTTCTATCAATCAACAATCACTTGAGCGCGAGTGCGGGATCCAGAATTTCTACGAGAAGGCAACAGGATTTGGCTCTGAAGCTCTACTCATCCTTCCCGGCGGAACAAATCTTTCGCTTCTCCTCCGCAAGGCGCTCCAATATCATCGCCAGAGCGAGGTAAGCTTTCGGATCTTTTCCTCTGCGAAAACAAATTCTCGTGAATTGTGACGAAACAGTAACGATCCAGATGGCCCAGTTTCGAAGTCCTTTTTCTCCTCGAATATGTGAGAATTGTCATTTTGTGTGCTCTTTTATTTAACCAATTCTGCAGCTTGGATGTGTTGGCTTTTCTGATAAGACTTCCAGCCCTCATCCTGGGATTTATAAAAAAGGAGCAACAGATTATGGAAATAGTGGAAGGTATTAACGTTGGTTTCTTACTGTTACATGCTATTGTGCACTACTGCACGGATCAATTAGACGACGCAGCACTAACAGTGAGCGGCATTGCAGAAGGACTAGAGAAAGTGGAAGAAGTTATCGAGGACGAGTCGATCCCAGAAGACCGAAGAGAAGAACTCAGGGACAAGGTGAGCACGCTCATTTGCTTTGCTCCAACCTTCCAAGCATTTTAAGTTTCAACTGTTGGAAGCATAGGTAAAAGGCACAACGGACTCTATGCGTTCGGACATCGGCACCGTCATTGACAGCGCTGCGGATCCAACCAAGCCGAAGACAAACGCCGGTGGAGAACCCGACGTCAAGGCCGCGGCCGACGCAGCCTCTCGAGCTGCGGAGAAAGCACAGAAGCTCAAAGACGCGGCGACGGAGCTCGAGGAGAAGCACCCAGGTAAGCTCTAGTATCTTTCGCATCACTGTGATTGATCGCTAGGAAAGAAAACGAGAGTCAACCATTTACTAAAGCACGAAAGAGATTCTAACAGGGAGTACCACTAACGCGATGAACAAGTCCCACCACTTTCGAGCAATATCGCCTTCACGCGGCAGAAGCGCCGTCACGCTCGTGCTATTGAGTGCCATGCTTTCGAGTTTGATAGTCTCAAACTGGCCGGCCATCCTCAAGCACGTGTTTGACTTCCTGCTCCACCACGGCATAACAATTTGAATATTCTGACCAAAATTACAGATGGTTTCTCTCTGAAGAGAAGTTTACTCCTCTAGATGACCTACAGCAAGCAAAGTGCTAGGGAAACAAGCTTGCTAGAGAAATCTAGTTAGTTCTGGCTGGACAGGTAAATTGTCCTCTCAAGAGGCTGCTATGCTTCTGCAAGAAATAATGTCAAATGTTAAATCCTGCATTAAAAAAAGGATATAATTATATGCATCCCATATGAACTTTTCAATCCCAATATAAGACACTTTTTTTAGCAGGTTCTCCTGAATCTCTAGATCACCATTATAACATAATGTGATCCAGCTATTGATGTGGTTTGTGACAAGCTTGCAAACTTTATATTTTGATTTCATCTCTTAAACATAGATAATTTGGAGGCATTTGCACTTGCTCTTTATTCTTAAAATGTGTTAAATTTAAGTGAAAAATACATTTGCACTATGTTTTAAAATAAAGTAAATTACTTTACATTAAAATTTAGGATATTTTTTAAAAACATTTTCATTGAAAGTGCTAACTTTAACACAATGTTTTCACGTTTTAAAACATTCAGATAAAAATAAATCGATTTTAAAAGATGGGTTCTTTTAATCTTAAAATATTTTTAAAAGGAATGTCCAAGATTCCTTAAAGATTCCAATGCCCTGATTAGGGTATTTCAGTTTTTTTGCTTGCCACGAGCTCAGGCATTGATGGCAGGGGAGCCGCATCACCAAGGTAGGCTCCCTAGGGTTAGATCATGTTGGGGATTCGATGGAGGAAGGAGGAGCAGCTGATTTTGAGGAAGGAGGAGTTGTAGGGTTTGATAAGGAGATGTGTGGGTTCAAGGCGGCAGCATCTAGTGTGGAGGTGCTGCTCGTGGAGTGAGGAGCAACTGCAGTGGAGGAGCATCTAGGGCTGGAGGACGGCACCAGGCCCAACTGTCGCTTGAGGAGGCAGGCCGCCTCGGGGTTGAGGCCGTGGAGATGCCGAGCTCACGGATCTTGGCCTTAATCAGGGCAGACCTGAAGCTGGAGTGGGGGGAGCTGTAGCACGGGGAGCTAGAGCCTCTCCCCCTACAGCTTCTAGAATTTGATTGTTCTCTAAATTCTCTTCTATAACAACCAACGAGGTAAGCTTCATCCCCAATTTAGCTCAGAGTTTCTAGGAGAGTGGTTTTGGGTTTAGGGTGGCGAAGCAAGTGACTTGGAGCGGGAATAGTCATCAAGACAACAATATATGCAGTTGTGGTTTCATAACTTAGAGGAGCAAGACGATGTTACTGTTGAACAAGAGGTGGAAGAAGATGATGGAGGTGATGAAGAAGAGGGCAATGATTGCAAGGAAGGGGAGGCAAGTGTTTATGTCGTGAAGAAAGTGAGGAAGAAATGCAGGAAAAACTGGGGGGACAATAAGATAGCTTCCCTCATTGATTTCAAACAAGAAGATCACCTTGGAAAGATTGGGGATGTGTAGGCCAGCAAGGAGATGACATTGAAAACAACTGCTTGCTAGAAGAGGATTGTAAAGAAGATGCAAGTTGCTGGCATGCAGTGGGACTGGAAGGCTTGCTAGACTCGCTGAAACAACCTTTGCAATGACTACAAGTGTGTTTGCGATTTCTAGAGGAAAACTGAGAACCCTGATTACTTCAGCTTGAGCCACAAGGATGCAAAGTGGCTTATGCCAGTGAAGCTAAACTTGAAGGTGTTCCTATTCGAGTACTTCAACATCATGGATGAATTCCTGGCAAAGCAGGCACCAACATCTCCAACGTTTCTTGTTAATTCAAATGCTCTGTAGGAGGAATCTCACAAGGAGGATCCCACGGATGGTGTTGATCCTCTTGGAGATGCTACACAAGTGCCAAGGAGTTGAAGGAAGCAAAAGAACCTGAAGAAGGCCGAGAAAAGCATGAACACTTTGTTTGGTGAGGGGAATGCTCTAGTTGCTGCTCAAAATAAGCAGAATCTAGCATGGCAAAAAGAGAGCATTGTTTGCATGAAGGAGAATAGCCTGGCCGAGAAGGAGAAGGTTGCAGCTGCAACAATTTTAACTAGAGCCATTTCCAACCTTGCAAGCTCCATCTCCAACTTCTTGAATGGGGCTGCATCCAGGAGTTAGCCACCTTGTTTTCGGGATTTTAGGGGGACGTTAATTATTAATATTAAACTAAACTATGTTTAGGCTATGATATTCTAGATTTCTTCTAACCATTTTTTTTTTTCAAGATCTTGCAACAGTTCAACCTCAAAAAATAGAAGATGCTTCTAGGGAAAACCAGAGAGATGCTGGGGAAGAACGTGGTTCTTTCAACAATCAGGCAGCAGTCATCGATGCCTTGTTGAGGAACAAGGTAATCTTACTTCTTTTGTAAGTTTTGTTTCTTGCCATGGAGGCTTTTCAATCCATCATTGATGACAAGACCTAGTGGCACAAACTCTTCCGGACGAGGAGGAGGACGAAGACAAGCTTTGTTGAGCAGTCTTGTCCAAACAATTTGACATCGGTCTCTGGTGGGTGAAGCTGTGGTGTATGACAATATGGAGCAAGTTCTTCATGGAGTTGTATGACCCTGGTTGATGGAAGCGGAAGCTGAGGATGGAGAAGATGACATTCTTCGGGCTTTGTGGCATTCTAGAGGTTGAAATTTGCAAGTAGGATACGAAGTTTAGGAGAGTGGTGCTAGTGGATGTTCGTATGGGGGTCATCTTGTACAATTTGTTCAAAAACACTGACTACTCTGACCTGTCTGACAAGTTTGGAATCGGGGAAGCCATTGCACATGACATTGTGGTGCAGACAACTGTTGCAATCATCAAGTGCCTTAGGTACAAGATTCAATTCTTGGAGACAACAGCAAAGGTTAGAGCTGTAGTGGCAGATTTTCAACAAATCACCAAGACCTGTCTCCCTAATGTGGCTAGGGTGATTGACTCTACACATTTCGAGATTATCTGACCAATTGGCCCAGATGGTGAGGGCTACTTTGATCGAAAGCAGCAGTACTTAGTGATCTTGCAGGGGGTTTGCGACGCTTAGAAAAGGTTCTGGAGTATCTATGCAGGTTGCCAGGTAATTACTTTTAATTATTTTCTTCTATACATCTAATTGGTTTTTTTTTTTCCCTAGGGAGTGTTCATGACGTGAGGGTTTTTTGGAACTCCAAGCTATGCTCAAGAGTTCCTCAAGGGCAACCAACTATAGCAGCACTTGATGATCCCTCACTTAGGTAAGTTGACTGTTTTTTTTTTTAATTATTCATTTGAAACAGGTTCGCAGTGTAAACTCCTGAGTTTGGACTTCCCAAGAGGTCACCTAGCCCAGTACTATTCAAACCCAAGGATGCTTAACTCCAACTATGTCAAGACCCTTAACCGATTCCCGAGAAGTCACCCAGCCCAGTACTATTTAATTCTAACTATCCCAAGACCCTTAATTGATTGGAAAAGGGGGTGCACTCTTATTCATAGGCCCTTTCCCTTTATATTTGAATCCTATGGATTGTCTCTCAAGTAGTTCCCTTTGATTGCTTACAATCCATCACACTTCCCTGCAAGTTCACGCCCTTGTGAACGGAAGTTGAGAGCCACAGCTCTCCCAAGAGCCCTGCTCTCCCAAGAGCCCCGCTCTTTTGACACCCTACCCTTCAGGAGCAAATTGGACCAGCCAGATGTTAATCAACATGTGGTGTGATTCCCTTAGCTAACCAACAGAGTCGGACCCGAGACCCTTCTGATACCAAATGTAACTCCAAATATCCCAAGACCCTTAACCGATTAGAAAAGGGGGTGCACTTTTATTCATAGGCCCTTTCCCTCTATATTTGAACCCCATGGATTGTCTCTCGAGTCGTTCTCTTGGTTGCTTACACCCAATTGACGGTGACTAAGGTAGAATACAACCAGCAACACCATTTGGCCTGGATTGTTATTGAACAAGCATTTGGACTCCTAAAAATGAAATTTAGATGTTTGGATAAAAAACAAAGGATCAAGCTGAAATATCTATCAAACATCATCAAAGGTTGTTGCATCTTGCACAACTTCTTGATTGATGCTGGTGAGACAAACATTAATGCCGAGATCAAGGCGTGGGAGAGACATATTCAAGCCTTGAAGAAAGCAAAGATTTTTGAAGATTATGAGGATCCTATCATGGCTGAGGGAGAACCATAAGAAGATTTGCGTGGGCTGGAAGATGCATAAAAGGTTTGAGAGAACTTAACCAATTTCCTATGTTTGCGCCGTCGTAGAATTGCGTGATTGCTATGTTCAAGTTTAATATTTGAAATTTGAAATTGAAATTTAGGGTTAGCATTTGAATTTGATTTGAATTTGAAATTTTAAAATATTTTAAAACATGTTCAAATGCTATTTTGAAGACATTTTAAAGTATGTCAGATGCGAAGCCACTAGTGTTTTACGTTAAATTTTTACCACAAAAACCTATGCAAGTGGGAATGAAAATGCTTAAAAATGCATACTTAAAGTTTAAAACAACCTAAAAACTACTTAAGTGCAAATGTAGCAGTCACAAAAATTAAATACATGTTTTTAAATATTTTTATATAAAGCGCAGGTGCAAATGGCTCCATAACTATATATTTTATATCATTAGTATAAATATCAGCATTATCTTATTGAGACATTTTGTTGACTATGTGTAGACTATAGAGTTGGGGAATGATGATTAACAAAATGCTAATTAATGTATATAAAAAAATGAAAAACAAAAAATTAAATTGACTTGGCAAAAGAATACTTTCTTACCTTGCCAGCATCAGACTTATCTCTGAGAATTGTTTGACAAGCTAGCCTCCAAAGTACCAGGCTTATGAAAGTTTTAAGTAATAAATTATTCAACTTGTCTGCTTTGAAATTCTCTTTTACCTGTTTGAGATATTTCTTTTCAGCACTGGCTTGCTTCACTTCACTTACCAACTCTTGTCATTCTAAAATCTCCACAATACAATTTCCACAGCTGCCACCCCCTCCTCCACAGTTCATCAGCTTGCTCTTCAGTAAGAATTTTTTTTTTCAAATTTCACCCTTGACTTTGTTCATAAGCTCACATACAAACTGTAGAGCTCGAGCTTGTTCTTGTGCATCACATTCCTGAGCACCTTCTCACCGCTCTTGACACTCACATCCCCATTGCCATCGGGCTCACAGCACACACAAAGAAAAAAGCTTTGGAAATTGCTGGAGTTTTGATGCTATTAGCCCCCAAAATTCGAGCTCTATCGATGCTGGCTCGCTGCTTGGCTGGTCACTACCATCTTGTAGATTTCACAACAATGACCTTGGAATGAATCGCAAAGGACTTGAAAACTCCCATTGGCATCTGGAGAGACAGCCATAGAGAACCAAAAACCATAAAAAATGCTGTGGATTCGAACCGATGCCCTTCCGGACCAGAACCGAAATCTGGCGCATTATGTCAGTCTTTGCTGATAGAATGTGATAGTATAAGCCAAACTTGTAATGTTAATTATTTTTAGGGCTTGTGTGTGGGAGCTGGAGCGATGGGGAAGGTCCAATGCCAGCGGATTGGATGCGACGCGCTCTTCTCTCCCGATCAAAACGACGATGAGAAGGCTTGCTGCTACCATCCCGGCGTAAGTTTGTGGTTTTCTTCCCGCGTTTTCACAGATTTTTGCCTCCAATTTTGATCTTGTGCATGAAATTGGAACTGGAACTGGATTTTTTCGAGCAGCCGGTATGTGTTGTCAAATCTGTGCTTGATTTCTTCAGTTTGGGATTGCTGTGGTGATTTCAGCCCCTGTTTCACGACGGTGGGAAACAATGGAGTTGCTGCAAACAGCAGAGTCACGATTTTAGCTTGTTCTTAAGCATTCCAGGGTACGTCTACTTCCTTCTCCTGCTTCTTCCTTCTTCTTTTGTGTTTGTTTTTCTTCTTTTTTGTTTTCTTTTATTTCTGCTGCGGTCATTTTCTCGTTCGTTGTTTTTTTGTTCTTCTTTTTTTTTGGAGGCTAAATTTTCTCCTTGTTCCATCAGCTGTACGCACGGAAAGCACACATCAGAGAAACCAAAGCCAGCTCCCAAGCCAAGCAAAACTTTACCACAGGGAGACGCCAGCAACACCAATTGCTTGAGATGCAAACAAGGTTTCTACTGTTCAGATCACGGTAAGCAAACCTTAAACCTTTTGTCATTTGTCTTGCTCATTCGCACGCACGGACGATGGCTTTGATCTTTTTTCTCTCTTTACTTGTCCTTTATGCTCGTAACTTAAGATTAAAATATCTGTTCTTCGCAGGCTCAAAGATATCGTGTGGACCAGCGGCAGCCCCCAGCAAAGACGTGGAAAAACCAGCTGCGAAAGAAGCTTCGCAATCATCGGTGCAAGCAGCCCCGGCGGCCCTCCCCAACGTGATTGACTTGGATGCAAAGCGGACGTGCAGGAATAAAGGCTGCGGAAAGGCATTCACCGAGCGAGAGAACCATGAAACTGCTTGCAGTTATCATCCGGGCCCAGCTGTTTTTCACGACAGATCGAGAGGAGTAAGCTTCTCTTCAGTTTGTCTAGTCTATCCATTCCAAATCCTATGACGCGTTTTTTTCTGTCTTGTTTTTTTCTTGCTAGTGGGCCTGCTGTGATGTTCATGTGAAGGAGTTTGACGAGTTCCTGGAGATCCCGCCGTGCTCGAAAGGCTGGCACAGCAGCCAATAGCTAAAAAACGAGATGCACATGCGCAGGAATGCTTCGCGATGGCTCTGGCTTGTACGTGAGTTTTCACTCGTTTTCGTTTCTTGAACGCTTTTCTGTTTTCCTTGATAGGATATTAACACTGCACGTGAATTGGAATAGGTGTATACTAGTTGGAAACGGATCCACGACGTAAAACAAGCCGTTTAGTTCACGCTTTGTTGTTTCTTTTGCTCACGTTTTTGCCAAGTCTCGATTGTGTTAGGAAGCTTCGGAAAGTGCTGACTTTGAAGTTTCGTTTCGAGGGCTTCTTAAGCGGAGGTCGAGCAGCTTGGATCTGGATTCAAGAATGGCTACGGTTTCTGATATCGCTTTTCCAGGACTACGTTTCAATCCTCTGGCAGAACGACGCGGCTACCAGGTTCTATCAATCAACAATCACTTGAGCGCGAGGGCGGGATCCAGAATTTCTACGAGAAGGCAACAGGATTTGGTTGCTCTGAAGCTCTACTCATCCTTCCCGGCGGAACAAATCTCTCGCTTCTCTTCCGCAAGGCGCTCCAATATCATCGCCAGAGCGAGGTAAGCTTTCGGATCTTTTCCTCTGCGAAAACAAATTCTCGTGAATTGTGATGAAACAGTAACGATCCAGATGGCCCAGTTTCGAAGTCCTTTTTCTCCTTGAATATGTGAGAATTGTCATTTTGGGTGCTCTTTTATTTAACCAATTCTGCAGATTGGATGTGTTGGGTTTTCTGATAAGAATTCCGGCCCTCATCCTGGGATTTATAAAAAAGGAGAAACAGATTATCGATAAAGTGGAAGGTATTAACGTTGCTTTCTTATTGTTCCATGCTAACAGTAAGAATTTTGTGCACTGCTGCACAGATCAAATAGACGACGCAGCAGAAACTGTGAGCGGCATTGCAGAAGCAATAGAGCAAGTGGCAGGAGTTGTGGAGAGAGTGGCCGAGTCGATCGCAGATGACGCAAGAGACACCCGTGAACTCATGGACAAGGTGAGCACGCTCATTTGCTTTGCTCCAACCTTCCAAGTATTCTAAGCTTCAACTGTTGGAAGCATAGGTGGAAGCCACAGCGGACTCTATGCGTTCGGACATCGGCACCGCCATTGACAGCCTGCAAGGAGCTGCGGATCCAACCAAGCCCAAGACAAAAGCCGGTGGAGAACCCGACGTCAAGGCCGCAGCCGACGCAACCTCTCGAGCTGCGGAGAAAGCACAGAAGCTCAAAGACGCGGCGACGGAGCTCGAGGAGAAGCACACAGGTAAGCTCTAGCATCTTTCGCATCGCTGTGATTGATCGCTGGGAAAGAAAACGAGAGTCAACCATTTACTAAAGCACGAAAGAGATTCTAACAGGGAGTACCACTAACGCGATGAGCAAGTCCCACCACTTTCGAGCAATATCGCCTTCACGCGGCAGAAGCGCCGTCACGCTCGTGCTATTGAGTGCCATGCTTTCGAGTTTGATAGTCTCAAACTGGCCGGCCATCCTCAAGCACGTGTTTGACTTCCTGCTCCACCACAGCATAACAATGTGAATATTCTCTTCCATTTTTTGAAAATCATTGTGACCAAAATTACAGATGGTGTCTCTGTTTGTCTTGTGAGATGTTTGCTGTGAAGTTTTTTGCTGCTGCTCTTCTTCATGATGTTGGGAGTGGTGGTGGTGGTGGCCCAAATTGGTGTGGTTGTCTCCTGTAATTCAGCTCCATGACAATGCTCCTGCCTGAAGGAGGAGGTGGTGATGGTGTAGCAGTTGTGGCTGATGATGATATAATTCCTCCTGATGTTGTTGTTGCTGTTGGTGTTGTTGCAGTCATTGATGCTGGGCTTTGCTCATCTGCTGCTGCTCCTGCTTCTGCTGCTGCCGCACTCGAGTGCCAAATAACATCACGCACATGCTGTAGCGACAAGCCCGGCTGCAGTAGCTGGCCTCTGCATGAGATCTCCACCTATACTCGGAGGTACCCAAACACAAACACAACAAGACAACGCGCATAAAGCAATGCCATCAGCAGAGAAGAAGAAGAAGAAGCAAAAGCAAAACAAAAAACAAAACAAAACAAAAGAAAAAAAAAAGAGGAGAGTGAGGAAGTGAGGAAAGCTTAAAAGTTGCAAGCAGTACACACACACAGGCAGAGAGGCAGACTGAGGAGATTCATGATGCAACTAAATGCGCTTCCTATATACCATCATTTTAAGGGTCAGAAGATATGAAAGGAATGAAATCGGGAAGGAACAAGCGAGACCACCCCCTGCAAGCAGGACGTACGTGTACTGGGCTCGCTGTTTTGTGACTCATACCAGGACAGGACAGCTCTACTTTTGCGCAGTTAGGCAGCACAGTGAGTGAATGGGGGAAGAGAAGAGAGTTTCATTCATTTCCCAGATGAAGGACTCTCCCTGACGACGACGAGAGACTGGAGTGTCTGAGAGAAGTGACGAGCATGCAATGCAACTATCACGCCAGATACGTGTGAGGGGAGCTTGCCATGCTTCGAGTGTGGATCTCTCACTCTCTCTCTCTCTCTCTCTCTCTCTGGTCAAATGACTAAGAAGTATGCGCTAGACTCTGCCTAGACGTGACGAAGAAATGGACGACCTGGTCAGACACGAAAATAAAGTAGGCGAGCGTACCTCTGACTCGCACGATAATCCCAGCTTGTGCACCAAGTACTTCTTGACATGGGAAACAGGTACCGCTCCATCCCTGCAACAAAGCCACCCCCCAACAAAAAGGCTAATTAGCACCACCATCGCGTACATCCTAAAAAATTTCGGTCCTCTGCGACACACGCCATGCTGCGTGAAGTCGTGTCCACAGCTTTTCTCTCTCCTCTCTCTTTTTCTTTCTCTTGTTTACTTACTTGACCCGCAGGTAGCCTTTGGGAACTTGTGGCAACCACTGCTCGCTGTCCCTGTAGGGGAATTATCAGTATACCGAGCTTTATCTGAGCACAAAGTAAAGTGGTGGGGGGGAGTAGAAGTTACTGATTCTCGCCAGCACGTAGGAAGAACCAGAGGTCGTGGTCTCTGACGACCGGTGGAGAGAAATTCCGTCGCTCCCTCGAGGATGACCCATCCGCAGCAGCCAGCTGCTGGAAGAATGGTAGACTCGCTGCCGAAGAATGCGAGTGCCAGCCTTGTTGGACGTTCGGTGGTGCCGGCACCCGCCCCTCAAACGCAGGAAAGTTGAATGGTGGCATGGTTTTCATCATTTCCTGGCCACCCAGGACGTGATGCCTTGACCAGGCCGCTGGTTTCATCTCCTGGTTGCTCCACTGCTCTTGAAGGTCCCGCAAGTTGCTTCTCGAGCGCTGCTGCTGCTGCTGCTGCAAGTCCTCCTCGGCAGCTTTTGGGAAAAGCGACTGAATTTGCATGCTGCCACCAAGCCTCTTTATCAAAGCTTGCCAGTCTTCATGAGGTGGCTGGCTGGGCAGCAACCGAGACGTCGCATGGAATGGCGATGGCGTAGGAACGTAGACGCTGTCTGGTCGCGCCGGAGCAAATAGAGGAAGGCCTTCGGTCTTCCAGGAGATAGCAACGTCCTGGTGCGATCTTTTCCCGTGACTCAACGTTGCAGTAGCCGGGGCATTATAGCTTCCGCAAAGGAAGCGCCTATCCTCGAACTGACCGAGCTGGGAGCTCGGAAAACTGCCATCACCGCCATAACCTCCGTGATGCACCGGTGGATCCGAAAGCGATGCCGCCCTTTGATCGTGGTAGGGGACCAGCGACTCCGCAAACATACTCAGCCGTCGCTGCTGATCGATATATCTCGCAGCATCGGTGGTGGTCGCAGCATAAGGAGTGGCTGCATTGCTGGTGCTATAAGATGTCATCAGCTGCGTGCTGGGAGCTTCTTTCATCGACTTGAGCAAACCGGCGACCTCGTGTTCCCTGTAAGCCGCCTCTCTGCTGTCAAATCTCACGGGAGGTACATGAGCTCCTCCCCCAAAGTAGAAGTCGCTGCTGGAAGAAGTTTCGCCATGACCAGCAAACTGTGATGACGGCATTCTCAGAGGACTGTGGGGACTGTACTCCGGTATCTGATGAACCGACTCCGAGGGAAATAAATGCAGCACTGGTTTCGGTTGTATCGAGACATCACCAGGAGCCTCGAAGTCTTGATCATCCCCCGGATATTCGCTCACTTCCGGGCTCGCAATCTCCTGTCGGGCCTTTGTTGGAGTGGCGCCACTGCTGCTGGGACCGAGTCCCAGTTGGAGCCATGAATCGTTGTAGTAATCAATGCCTTCCCCTGCCCGTTGTCTACTGGCGCTGCTGTCGTGACGGAACTCCTCCCCTCGAGCTATAGCTTCGCGATCCTCGGCCTTCACCACAGTCTGAGATATAAACTGCTGGCCTTCTTCCCTGGAACTGAAACCAGGGAAGAGCTTCTCTCTCGCCTGCTGGGACTGCTGCGTTACGAGTGATAGAGAGCCACCGTGATGGAAGTCCACGTCCCGGAAGGTTTTGTAAGCTTGAGCTGGGTCCAAAGTGGAAGCTCCTAATTCCCCTCCTCCTCCCTGATCGCCTACTAAATTCCTGGAACCCTGCCCGGCGGTGGTCGCTAGTGTGCAAGCATCATCAAAGCAGCTCGACTTGGAGCTCTCTGCTGCCATGTACTGATCGGTGGTGATCTCCGAGCTGTTAGATCCAGGACTTGACGAGCTCCTTGCTGCTTCTACTTGCTTGAATTTTTTGTTGACACTGCTGTATGGTCTCGATCCTTGTGCACCATCACCGCCGTCAAAGTTGCTCCATGGCCATGAATTCCATGCTGCTTTTCTCTTCCGGATCAAGCTAGCTTCTTCTTCCTTGAGAGAGTCCGCTGTTACTTTGCCCAAGCGACCGCAACCATGTAGATCGTCTTGTGTGTAGCTCATTATCTGCTCATACTTACGATGGAACGAGGAGGCACGCAGCGCTAGCTCTTGGCTCTCCTCGTCCTTGCGATCGTGGCGTGTGAAGTCTCCTCTCAGCGCACGAAATTGTTGACGTCTCTTTCTATCTCGATCGTGATTCAGCCTGCAGTAGCAGCATCAGTTAGTCACGAGCCCGAGATTCCGATAAAAGGAGATGAATGCTGCCGTGCCATGCAATGCTCGCGCGTTCTACTCGATCATGACTCTAGGAGAGATTTTCTAGATGATGATCATCACTAGAGCTCTAGCAGAGAATTCGGCAGGAGTGATGCAAGGAAGCAAGGAAACTATGATGCTCTGGATTGTTCGACACCACAGAGCAGCGCGGATCAGGTTGCCAGTCACAATCGAGGAGCAAAGAAAATATCCAAAACAGCGATTGCGACTCACATTATCAGAGAGGCTTGTCAACCCTTGATGAACTGAGCGTTGTCGTCTCATAAGAGAATGATCCAGCGCTCTCTCTGCAATCTCGATTTGGAGTCACTCAGGAGCTGCGAGAGAGAAGACTGAGATCCCTGGCAAGAAAGAGAGGAAAGAAGAACCAAAAATCTCGAGCTGTCGAAGTAGCGTGAGTGAGATGACAAAGACTCGGAGAATTTCGGCCAATTCCGGGAGATCGAGCGTTAGCCAGCTCGATATTTCGCAGAAAACAAGGAAGATCGGCGCCAAGAACGGGAGATTTCACGAGAGAGAGAGAGAGAGAGAGGAAAACAAGAACGCGATCGATCGCGAGAGAAAAGAAGCCGATCGATGCCGATGGAGAGACCGAATGATCGATCGAGGCGAGGCGCCGCCCGGGCGCTCGATCTTGCACGGCTATCGGAGAAGAATCCCTCTGTCGAGTCGCGTCGTCGTTCTGGGTGCCATAGCTAGGTAACAAAAGAAAAGAAAAAACCCCACCGCACTCTCTTCTATCTCTCTCTCCTTCGTGTGCTCTATGGGCAAGCCCATACTACGTAGTGACCGTCGATTACCAGAATGGCACGTCCCCCAACATTCCGGATTTGGGGTCCGCCGCCGACAGCTACATTCCGTGGAATGTGACACCCAGCGTAACTTACCGTGGCCGCCCTGGTGGTCAGTTGGAAGCTCTCATACCGAGGCACGCTCCCGTGGTACGGCCCCGTACGCACCCATTGGAGAGGACATGCTGGCAAATGGCCATCATGGGAGTTACATGGGCATGTTTTGCAGGGCTGGCTGGCCATATCTCCATGATGCCTTCATGTGTGCGCGTGCACTCACATACGTATAACCCGGTAGAAAATGCGTGGTAATACGAGGTAAAAACTGCGTGAAATTGCCAAGGTAAGTAAATCCACTAGCACACAGATCGGGGGGGTGCACGCGTGCCATCATCATTTCGCGCGCCTGTCCAATACCTGGCAGTATGGAATGGTCCCGGCCCCATGCATGCATGCATGCCATGTCCCATCAAGCACCCATGCCATGCGCGCCCGCCCGACGAAGCGATGGCCAATGGCCATGCATGCATGCGTTTGCATGGCAAAATCATTCGTGGTCCATCGTACGGAAGGTATATCCCGCGCCTCCACTGGTAAAGCATGGGCTCCTCTACTAGACGAAATTTCAACGCGTCTCCAAAACCATGAAAGAACGTAGTCTCCAAATATGATAGAATTGTTTGCTTTTACAAGCATAGCCCATGGTGGGCATTATTAAACCACACATTACATAGGAACGTAGTGTTGGATCGACGGGGATGGGGGCTGTAGTTGTGCGTGCGTGCTCCTTTTTATGTGTGAAAGCACTTTTTTTATTTTTCTCTTTTTTGTTTGTTAATCTGTGCTGCTGTTTTGCCCTGTCACGCTGACGCGAGCGACTAGGAAATGAATCCCCGGCCGCTACCTTAAGTAAACAAGACACACGACATGGGCGAGCCCTAATAGAAAAACTTGCACTGTGCAGAGGGACAAAAGCTTACAGCATTGTTTGCAAAAGAAGCTTTTGTTGGTGCAGGTGCAGCGAGAATCAGAATGAAGGTCCTCTCAATCAACACAGCCCAACATTTTTCTTTTTTCTTTATATTTTTATAAAAATCTCTCTCGTTTTTGCATGTACGTGTACGTAACTTTCCTGTTTGAGGAATCTGGCTCATACTTAGGCAGCTAAGAAGGTGATGGAGTGGTGATGTAAGAGTCCGGATTTAGGGCTAAGCTGCTAGATTATGTACTTGAGAGTTGGTTAAGATCGGGATGGATTGTTTATTAGCGTTAAGCATGAGTGGTCTCATGGAAATGCGGTGCGTGGTGGTGGGCATCATTCGCAGGTACGTGGAGCGGAAGCTTTTGCATAGAAAATGTACTAGGGTTTTTTCTTTTGCGTCTGCAATCCCCATGTACGTACGTGACGGGGGTTTAGAGTAGAAAACAGCATGTTTATCACCAACAATTAGGCAATTTGCATGTATGGGAAGATGCCGCAAGAGATTCGCCCCTCTGGTCATGATGAAATGCATAAGAGTGAACAGAATGATGCAACTTTTTCCAAGTGTCACGCCTCTATAAATCAGAAAAGATGGACGGGATCATATGCTTTTTCCAAAGGAATCCCGCCACCTTCATCGGGGCCTGTGACATTGTCTCCAAAGAGATGTAGATCCAAACTTTGTGAAAACAGAATGCCTAGCCAAGCTTAGCAAGGAACAATTAAGAGCAAAACAGTTTCATACATTTGCCAAAAACTAACTTAAAAGTCACGTCTGTCGCCCATTACACATATAACTCCACACGTCTAAAGCAGCGTTCGGCTTTGTATCGTGGGGCCTCCAAAGCACAGGCACGACTTGTTAAATCCCTCTCGATCTGCTTCTTCGCGTCACTTCGCCATGGATTGGGCATATATTGGGGTTGAGAGAGGGGTCAAAGCCGCGGCCTTGCATGCAAGCAAGAAAGAGGAAAAGGAAAGCTGCGAAAGCAAAGTATTTGACCCTGTGTTGTGCTGGTGGGGAATCATCCGTCCATCAATCCACACACACGAACAAAGGGAGTCCACCACCTAGAAATCGAGTAATAGCCCCTCGCTCAGACTGGGAATCTCCATGAGAGAATCTTCTTCTTGGTCCCGGCATCACCACCACCACCACCACCACCTTTGTAGAAACTGTGAGAGCCCGGGAATCTCCAAGAGAGAATCTTCTTCCGCCACCTGGGTTTCATCCATAGGTTCTTTTGCTTGGATGCCTGGATGCCGTCCATCGTAGGCCTTCCACCGTACGATTGCCTTGGCTCTAGCTAGACGCGAAGTGTCAAGCCCGGAATTTCGCTCGATTTGGATGCGCGAGAGGACAATCCGGCCGCAATGTCGATCGCAATACGCTCCTTGATCGAAATTTCCCTAGACCCGATCGAATCGACCCTAGAATTCGTTTACCCATGGGTTTAGTGGAAGACGGTAGCGGCAGCGATCGCGGCGACGACGGCGTATGCCAGGCACCAGATCATTCCCGCAAAGATTAGCCGCAGTGCCACAGCCAGCTGCATCGTCCTGGTGTGATGGGGCTGAGCGTGCAACGAAGAACCCTAAAGCAATCGTGGCCGTTGGATGCACTTAACCTTGTCTATCAAAAGGAAAACCATTGTAATGGTTTGTTTCACATTAGCATGAACAACAAGATAGCAATAACTAAAAGAGTCACTATGATCAAGAGTCCCGAGCTCTGATCGACCACTCTTTCTTCTTTGAAGGGAGTTTTCTTGACCACTTCCTCACGTTCCAATTCGATTTTCCTGGCATCAGATTCATCCTTGTTCTCCAGGGCAGCGTTTGATGATATCTTAGAGCGCTTCTTCTTTCTCTTCAAATTGTCATGATCCGGCTCGCCATTCTTCGATGGTGGCGCTGCTGAGTTTTGCTTGTCCTTTTTTATGATCACTTCATGAGCGATTGACGCTTGTTTCTTGCTATCCATATCGATGTTCGTTCTAAGCACCGACCATGGATTCGAGAGTAGCACGAAATCGTCAGTCTTCTTCTTGCCAACAATCTCATTGTCCTTGTTAACCAGAGATGAGGACAAGGCCTTTTCACTAGATACTGTAACCTTTGGCTCAATCCAGCCATTTTTCTTGTCTCTCTGTGACTTGGCTACCTTCGGTGCAGTGGCTGCGTGCTTTGCCCTCGCCATAGCTATCTAGGTTTTGCCATGCTATGCCCGTTTTTATATTGGTAAGAGGTAAACCGAGATAATTTAAAGTGTCGAGGTTTTATCTCTTACAAAAAGGTATATTGATTGAAAGAGTCAGATATGTCATCAAATATATATCAATTATCCTTTCCTCAATCTTGCCTCAAGAGTTTCTCAATCTAGTTTTTCCCAATCTTGCCTCAATCCTCCAAGAGTTTCTCATTTCTCCATGGAAAGGCGTCGGTCTGTGCTTTGTTTCCTATTGGCTCTTGTGTGCATTTGGGAATTTAGTCGACCTCACGTCGAGGCTGCTCCTGTCTCAGGGCTTGTCAATGCTATTGCGCGAAAGGTCTTGCCAGCTGCCCTAAAAGAGGGAGGCGCGATCGTATGGAAGCAAAGACGAACTCTAGCCAACATCACCACCGACTTTAGTGTGAGAGGAGGAGACAAAGGCCTAGAGACGAGTTTCTATGTAGATAACGGCCTCAACTTCGCCATGAATCTCAATTTGGGAACTCCTCCTGTGCAGCACAACTTCACCATGGCACTTAACTCGGAATTCTTCTGGGCTGCGTGCTCTCCTTGCGTCGATTGCAATGTTTCCACAAACGATCCCCTCTTTTCATCGGCATCATCCACATCTTACACTAGAATTCCTTGCACCTCTCCTTTCTGCTCGACATCCCCTGGTTTCTCCACAAACGCTTGCGGATCTTCAGCAGTGGGTTCCACGACTTGCTTATATAATTTTTCTTACAGCACCGATTACTCCTCAGCTGGTGAGATGGCTAGTGATGTTGTAGCCATGAAAACTCCACGCAAAACTAGAGGCAATAAGAGCCTCAGAATGTCACTTGGATGTGGTCGAGAAAGCACGACATTGCTGGGGATTCTCAATACATCAGGCCTGGTGGGATTTGCAAAGACAGACAAGTCATTCATTGGACAACTTGCTGAAATGGACTATACAAGCAAGTTTATCTATTGTGTTCCATCTGATACGTTTAGCGGCAAAATCGTGCTCGGCAACTATAAGATCTCATCGCACTCCTCTCTCTCTTACACTCCAATGATCGTAAATTCCACTGCCTTGTATTACATCGGCTTGAGATCCATAAGTATCACCGATACGTTGACTTTTCCGGTGCAAGGCATTCTTGCAGATGGAACTGGAGGAACGATCATTGATTCAACCTTTGCATTCAGTTATTTCACACCAGATTCCTACACCCCTCTTGTGCAAGCCATACAAAACCTCAATTCCAACCTTACTAAAGTATCGAGCAACGAAACTGCAGCACTGCTCGGCAATGATATTTGCTATAATGTTTCTGTAAATGGTGATACACCACCACCACAAACCCTGACTTATCACTTTGAGAATGGCACATAGGTTGAATTTCGGACATGGTTTCTGCTAGATGATGATGCTGAAAATGCTACCGTGTGCTTGGCTGTTGGAGACTCAGAGAAGGTGGGGTTCTCACTGAATGTTATAGGAACCTACCAGCAGCTAGATGTGGCAGTGGAGTTTGATCTGGAAAAGCAGGAGATTGGATTTGGAACAGCAGGATGCAATGTCAGCATGAACCTTGACACTTCTTCTGGTTTTACATACGTCTTCGTGTGGAAATCTTCTACAACTCAAGCGTTTTCTTTTCTTCCTCTCCTCACGTCACCTTCAAAACTTTGTCTTGTCAAGTTTACTATACAAACCGCGTCAACATAGAAAATTCAGTCTGGATTGATTTGTAAACTCGAGATATATAGCTTCTTTGAATTCTCAATACATCAGGCCTGGTGGGATTTGCAAAGACAAACAAGTCATTCATCGGACAACTTGCTGAACTCGCAGCAAGAGAAATCCATCCAAGCCACAAGAAAAGATGGAAATTAATTGTGTCGTTGACGCGCGCCCCCGATTGCGATTGCCTCCGGCATTTGGAGTGCGGCTGGACGATGGGGGATGAGTTCTCGCCGCGTGCCATGAAAACTTCGTGGCTGGTAGCTAGAACCTGCCACGACTAAAACCTCGGCCGTCCCCATCATCCAACGGCCATGATGTGATGCGCGTCCAAGAGCTGGCCGCCCTTGTCAGATCTTGCGACAATCCCAGCGATGGCCGCCCCACGCCCAGATCCTTCACAGCGACCACAATAACAGCGTCTTCGTGCGAAATCTCCTCGTCCAGATGTATGGCCGCTGCGGCTGCCTGGAGGAAGCGCGATCGGTCTTCCATTCTACCTCGGATCGCAATCTCTTCTCTTGGAATCTCATCCTCCAGGCCTACAATCCCAACCATGACCTGGAGCAGGCGTGATCGGTCCTGGAAAGCATGCCGCGGCAGGAGATTGTGTCCAGCAACGCCATGATCTCGGCATATGCCGCGGCTGGGGACGTGCAGCGCGCCAAGCAGCACTTCGATCGCATCCCTGCCAAAGAATTCCATCACCTGGAACCGGATGATCGAGATGTACTCGCAGAGTGGCAATCTTGGCGAGGCGGAGGCGGTATTCCACTCCATGCCGGAGCAAACCCAAAGAGATCTTTAGCTTCATCCAGCCCCTGGTTGTGGCAATGGCCTTGTATCATGTCCGTCCACACCACTACGTCCTTTTGGGGCAGATTATCGAACACCTCACGCGCGCGTGAGAGATGCCCGCTATGGGCATAAGCCACGATCATGGCGGTGCTAGAAACGATTGACAGAATGCCCACAAGGCCATGATCATAGGCCTGGGCATATGGAGAAAACAAAGATTCTCTTTAATGATGCCCCGGATCTTAATGAGGTGGCAGTTACGGCTATGATTGACACTACGCATGTAACGACTCCGTAGAAGAGGCTAAAGTTTTGTCTGAGACGCTCCAAACAAAGACATGGTGGCTTGGAACTCCATGTTTTGCGCATATGCCGCGAATGGGCATTTTGACGAGGCACTACATTCTTTCCAAAAGATGGCTCACTGCGACGACATCTCTTGGACGACAATGATCCATATGCTTGCCTCTAGAAACCATCTTGAAAGTTTATGTTCTGTCAGATGCCTTATGATAGCAAGACAGTGAGCAAAGTGCTCCTCTTCGCCTATCTCTGGAACGGCCACCTCCAAGAAGCAATAAGCCTCTTCCAGGTGATCGAGGAGTGCAATGTGATTGCCTGGATGGCAATGGTGGCAGGCTTCACTCACAAGGGACTCCTCTTGGAAGCTTGAGTTTGGTTTGAGAGAATACCAGAGTGAAACTTGGTCTCATGGACTGCAGTGGTGGCCATGTATGCTTCCACCAGGCATGTAACTGAGGCCTTGGAAACCTTCCATAGGACTATCCAGGAGAGCATGATGCCTGATCACATAATCTTTATGAGTGTTCTTGCGGCATGCTACCACTTGGGTTTGGTGAAGATCTTTTGGGACTACTTCTAGTCAAATGATTTAGGGCTATGGAGTTGAGCCCATGGGACAATGCTACTGTGGGCTTGTTGACGCATTTGCAAAGGCCAGAGAGCTAGACAAGGCTAAAAAACTCATCCATAGCACCTTTGAGTTTGAGAGTGTTGCTTGGGGGGTCTCACTGTTGGCTGTTTGCCAAAAGATCCACAAGGATCCCAAGTGTGGAGCTCGAGTTACCTAGAGACCCTTGGTGTTGGGGTCGCCAAAATTATGGAAGTGTATTAACTTGATTTATAAAAATTCATTGCAATTAAACTAGGGCTTGCATTTTTTCTATCTTTCTTCATAAGTATAAAGAGGCTGTGGGAATATAAGGAGTAGAGTTTTGTAACACTTGACATCACCACCAAAAAGAACAAAAAGGTGAAATTGTCACAATTCTTTGCTGTTACAACTAGCTTTGGAAAAGAAACCCATGCTTGTGTTGGACATAGATGAGACAAAGGCCACAACATCCTTCAAGCTCTTCAATGGGAAAATTATTCCACTAGAGCATTACCTTATAACAAAGAGGCTAGGCATAGATGACTTTTCTAAAAGAGATGAGTGAGATATATGAGATTGTGGTTTTTACTCAAGAAATGAAGCTGTATGTGGACAAGATTTTGGACAAGCTTGACCTAGCTAGGAATCTCTTTGCCCATTGTCTACAAAGATTTGTGCTTACCAAGGAAGTTAGAGGGAAAAAGGTTGTGAAAGATCTCTTGAGATTAGGGCGTGGGCAACAAGCCAAAGTCTTTTTGCTTGCAGCCCAACAATGGAATTGTTATCCACACATTCAAAAACAAAAAAGGTTATAAGTATTATGAATTGAAGACGATAAACAATCTTCTTAAGAAAATTGCAAGTGTTGAAAATGTAAAACAAGCATTGGAGAAGCTAAAAAGTTAGACAATAAAGAAAGTCATGTAAACACTCTAACTGTTTATGCTGTAACACTGCTCACTCTGATTCTGGCATTATTTCCCTCACGAAAACTGTCCAATAATCATAATCAGAAAAGCATACTTGGAGCCAATCGATAATTGTGATACTTCAGCAGCAGCATCATCCACAAAGAGCCAATCAATAGACTTTTGCAGAGAGAAGCTCTTTGCATTCTTCAATCTCTTTGTCCTAAAATGCATTATAGAGCCTCTCAAAATCCCATGCCTCAGATTAACTGACTTATCCTTTTAGTGTGGCTCAATGAGAGTGGTACATAGTTTGGATACGAAAAGCAAGTTTATCTATTTTGTTCCATCTGATACGTTTAGTGGCAAAATTGTGCTCAGCAACTATAAGAAATCATAGTAAATCCAAATTCCACTGTGTTGTATTACATCGGCTTGGGATCCATAAGTATCAATGGCACGTGGTGCAAGGAATTCTTGCAGATGGAACTGGAGGAATGATCATTGATTTAATGTTTGTATTCAGCTATTTCACACTAGATTCCTACACCTCTCTTGTGCAAGCCGTACAAACCTCAACTCTAACCTTACTCAAGTATCGAGCAATGGAACTGAAGCACTGCTCGGCAATGATATTTACTACAATGTTTCCGTAAATGGTGACACACCACCACCACAAACTCTGATCACTTAGAGGATGGAATACAGGTTGAATTTTGGACATGGTTTCTGCTAGATGAACATGCTGAAAATGCAACTGTGTGCTTGGACATACGTCTTCGTGTGGAAATCTTCTACAATGCAAGTGTTTCGTTTTCTTCCTCTCCTGACGTATCTCCTGCTTGTTTAAGTAAGACACCTTCAAAACTTTATCTTGTCAAGTATACAAAACCACATCAACATAGAAAATTCAGTTAATTCTTGGTTTTCAAGATATATAGCTCCTATTTGCTTGTTTCCAACTGAGGAGATCTTGTGTAGCAATTGTGGTCTTGTTGGTAACTTTCACAGGATGCATTCAAGGACAGCGTGCAAGGACTCCCACCCAACAATACGCCAATTGTCAACATTAGCCTGTTTTTGCCCTCTTGTTGCAAAAGAAGTGAAACCTTGGAAGCCAGCTTCTTTCTCGATGCTGCACTCAACTTCGAGAGAACACATCGAATATGCTATATTTAAAATATAGAAGATTTTGTAAGCCCTAAAAATCCAATATCAAGGAAAACCATTTTGTGTCACATTAGGTTCGTCATGGATTCCTAGAGGAAGATAAAATATTTTCCTCAGTTGTATAGCAAGGGTGAAATATCGACTGTTCCATACTCATCCAAGAGTTGATAACTATTGCAAGAATGGCAAAAACAAGACAAAACAAAGGAAAAAATAGGAAAGAAAAGCTTAAAAGTGAAGGGGAAAATGGACTGTGAAATTTCTTGAGGAGGTTATTGATGAACTAGATTTCAAACTTACTTAGCATCACATAATTAACCCAATTAGCCAAAAATAAGTCACTCTTCCTTCACAAGCTTATACTAAATATTTTGATAAAAAATTAATTTAAAAATTCAAATTCTTTCCCACATTTACTCTCAACCATCCAATGTTGCTAAATTTCCAAAAAGACAATGACCTCAAAATGGAGAAAAATATTTATTTGGTCCTTCTCAAAGTTAGATTTTCCTTGTTAACTTTTAGCTTCTAATATGTGCACCACACTATCATGTAGCATGAGCAACATTCACTCCATTAAAAACCCAAAAGCTTTGGGTTCTCTGTAGTGCTATCTCCCACAGAGATAACAAAGGAAATAATCCTCTTGAAGGACAAGCAAGGAAGAAAAGAGTTGCTTAGGAGGCATGATTTACCTTTCAAGGATTTCTTGCTTGGATTCCTGGATAATATCAGAGTATCTAAGAATATTTTATTAGTTTGCGATAACAAACTTTCTGAAGTGTTGAGATTAGGATTGTCAATCCATTATCTCAAGGCAAGAGCTCATCTTCATCCATGAGCATTCTAGGGCTGGTTAGTGTTAAATGGCCATCATAGCATTGGTGTGATGTCTAGATAGAGGCACTCAAGCATAAAATTCAAGCAATTTTATATTAGCTAGGAGTCCTTTAGGAAGAATTAGCATGATCTAGCTATTACATTGATAAGCCATTTGCAAGGACCTAAACACCCAATAGGCTTCTAATACAACCACAATTGCCATCTCTTAGCAATAGTGGCACATATACATGGATTGGTCTGGGTTATTTTTTATTGGTGCAACATATATGTACATTACTCAATGTTCCTTAGGGACTGTTGCAAAAAAGGTACTCTCTCAACTATAACATTTCACTATATCCTATCTATTAGTGGTCGCTACCTTCCAACCGAGGCTGTTGTGGTTGTCTCCTTTGCAAAATATCTTGTACTAAATCACCTTGTCTTGCCTTTACTATAGTGTCTAGTGGTCTCCATTTTCATTTGATACCTCCCTTGTATTCCCCTCTATAGCAGGGTATTTATTGCTGTTGCTAAGCATCAAGCACCTTCCTTTTGCTATATTCCTACAGTAGCATTTCCTTGAGACGGACAGCTACTAACATGAGCCCCAACTAGTTTGCTATGATCGCT